TTTTTTTTTAAATTTTCTCCTTATGTATCTGAGGGGGGTAAAAAATTGGTTCTGTTCTCATTTCCGGCAAACTCACTGTATTTTCGAAAACTGCAAAAATTAAACTTTTTAAAACTACAAAATTTAAGATATTATATTTGCTTTAACCAGCTTGTTCTAAAAAATGTTTAAAAAGAATGATATGCAATGTTTTCAAAAAAATGAAGGGTAAAAATTTGGAGCCGTTTTAGAGAATATATCGTTTGAGCATTTTTGAAAATGTGCTATTTTATGTTCTATTTCACAGAAAACTTTAATTTTCAAAAAACGTATAAGGAATCATTTAAACACTTGTACTCACAAGTTCAATAATGTAAGCCCTTAGTGTAAATGTTAATGATATGAGTAATATATATATATATATATATAATATATATAATATATATATATATATATATTATATATATATATATATATATATATATATATATATATTATATATAAAAAAATATATATATATACTATATTTACATTTGTAAAAGATATGTCAAAATGTACAGAATACATCAAAATGGGGTTTATGTCAAGTTATTCAGAGCATATAGCACTCGCACACAATCGTTAAATATCTTATACATGAATTAAAAATATACCTAAAGAAGATGATGCTAAATGGGCTCTTAGAGCACAAAACAAAAGACACTTTTTCCTCACAAATAGAGATAAGATCAGAGACAGATGCAGTAAGAATTGGGGGTATAGGGGGGGGGGGTCACTTCTGACCCCCCATAAATACTTTTGTAGTATTCTTTTGAAGTTCTTAGCATGAAATAAAGTACACAAATATATTCATAATGGGAATACTACTTTGGATGCGATGGGATTATTATTATTTTTAAATTCAAGAATAAAATTACAAGAACGCTATTGCTCTCCCCTGGATCCACCACTCGATAAATGTTAGAAAGGTGGAAGCAAAATGTAAGTCAGTCTGTTAAGTCATAGTAGATACCTTTATTAATTTCTTTTACAATAAATACAGTTCACAATGTTTCTTTCACAAGTGATTCAATCACAGACAGCTCAGTACAATTGAATTATAGCAACAAAAACTACAGCTAAAAACCCTACATAGATTCATTTTGGCATAGAAGGAACATTCAGTCAACCATTGTCCATCTATTTACATCAGCTGACACAGCACCGTATCTTGCCAGCCATGTATAGCACCAAGGATGTAATAATTTAACAGTCAGTGTATGATATTTTCATAAACCTACCTGTCTTGCAATTGCAAAAATAATCCAAATTACAATATGCTCTAATTCCCTCCGATTATTAAGTTTATGTAATAATAATAGCACACGTTGCACAAGTATATTTTACTTCAGCAAGACTATGCAACCTCTCAGGAATTTGTTGCATACGAACAAGTCATCTCTGAAATTGCAGAATACATTCATTATTATCCCATAGTAAAAAAGTTATCAAGTTTCTCCCAAGCAAAGGATCTTTAGCAAAACTCTGTAGTGTACTATAAAATGTTTAGAGCAAATTATATATGAAAAATAAGAAAGGAAAAGGGAGAAAATTTCACAAATAAACATTAAATTTCTATTAGTAAAAACTACTCTGAATATCGAGGGACGGAGAGTGAAACAAAATCAACTAGAATAAAACAAGTACAAATATCCAGCAATAAATAAAAATGTACAGAAAGAAAGAAAATTTCAAAGAGTACTTTTGGAAAATTTACATTGATGTGGCATGAAGCAATAAGATGTAGTTAATAGCACTAGAAAAAATAGTTGCTGAAAATGTCCAGAAACATGACGTAAACGTGAAGTAATGTTTATTATATGCTTTACTATCTTTTTATTTTTTGACTGAAAATAGCTCAGAACATACATATCAATTAATGTAATTTGAATGAATGAATGAATGAATGAATAAATAAATAAAGTAACTAAAGAAAGAAGGTTGTGGCAACATTCACAAGCTGAAAACAGGAAATGATATTATATAATAATATTAATAACCACTCATTAGTTTCACTCAGTCAGATTATTACTCTGTTAACCCTTACTCAGAAATATTGCTCTGCTATTGTTATTTCATGTACTGTGAAAACTGTTTGGAATGCAGCTGCCCTATCCTTCCTTCATGTTAACCAATTGTTCACACAGAGTGTGCATTGTCCTTTGCTTTGTGGTTGCCTGTTTCCTGGCGAACATTGTTGGATTGGAAAAACATAGCTTAAGAGAACTTTGGGAGTGTTTTTTTGAACAAGAAACAATTGGAACCATTGTTTCATATACAAATGTGAAACTGCTGAGAAGAGAAAAAATATCGATCATGCAGCTCCAATTTATACTTTTTGATAATTCAGTGTTGTTTTTGCTGTTTGTAATTTTTATTTTTGAAAATATGTTATACTAAATCATTAAGTTGTTTTATTGCTTTCTTCCCAAAAATAATCAAAAAAGTTTAAATAAATAGCAAATAAATTGAGGGGCATATTCCAAGATCCCTGAACTGGATATTTCTTATTATGGTCTCTCAACATGATTCTGTTTAAGGGTTAACTATAAAAATGCTGATAAAAATAAATAAATAAAGATATGGGACAAATTTAATTATCAAATGTTGGAAATCATGTGAAATAACATTTTAAATATACGCAAGATCCTGGCTACTTCAAAAGAACAGAATTAAATTCGTATTCAGTTGGCATACAATTTGTAAGACTCCTTCGAAAGCATACTCCAGCATACTCTTGTATATATAACGTCAAGCATCCAATATATGCAATTTTATTGTTACTGTTATTTATAAAACACTCCAACTCTCATGAGGATGATAGAACCGAGATTCAATGATATTAGAATTGAGTAAACCCAATAATCCTAGATTATTTATGAAGAAAAAGAAATTATGTGCTTACAACACAAATTATTTTCACCACTGATATTAATTGAACACTACATGTTGATTATTGTTCTTAAAAGGGATGAAGTGTAAGAAAAGTCAATTGAATGAAGGCTCTCATGAATATGTTAATTTCCTTTCTGAAACTTGAAACAAACAAATTTTGAAAAACTAAAACGACTTCTAGGAAGTCAATTTATTACCAATCTTTGTTCCTCCTTCTCCTAGACATTTTATTAAATTTACACCTTGAAAACCTGCAAAATAAACTCAACTTTTAGCTGAAATCCACCAACAATAATGACTATCAATACAAATTACATAATTTTAAATTAAAGCTAGTTGAGTTTTGCAAGAAAAGGTCGCTTCAAGCAATCATACAGCTTTTTTGTACGAACTTCCACATATTTGAAAGCTATGGAGCATTGAGATGATATAACTTACTCTATCATCTCATATCAGATTTATGGAAATATAGGATACAAAAACTGATTGGCTTGAATTTTGTTAAACAAAGAAATATACGTTGAAAATAAGTTAATTATAAGAAGAGCTTTAGAGATTCATATTGTATCAATCCGATGGAAGCTGTAAACTTAGTCATCCAACATAGAGTCGAGCCAGTCCTCCAAATCTTCTGTCTTTTTCTCTATTACAGGAGTAGGCGTAGCAGCCACAGATTCATCTGAAACACAAGTGAGCAATAATTCCCTCCTTCTGAAAGCACAGTTTTCCTTTATAACATAATTTGAATAACTTTATAGCTTATTTCTACAACAAACACAGTAAGTGTATTTCTTATCACACTTCTTGCTCATCAATTTTAGTTATTCAGGAAATTTATGGCCATATTGAAGAAGAACCAATTTTCTTGGAACTATTTCATTTATTAATAGTTTCATAGTCTTAATAGCACAATGTTTCGAGGCTCACAATTTGCCTCATCATCAGGCTTAATGTGTGATAGGCACACTAGAAGAAAAACATTCTTCAATACCAAAAGTCACGACAAATAAAATATTAAATTTCAGTCATCGCGATGAGCTGTTGGTCATTTTGAGACTGACAGTCCGTCAGGATGACTAAAATTTAATATTTTAATATTTGTCTTATTTAATATTTTAGTATTTCATAAAAGAGTATTTAAAATTATTTGGAAATTATTGTAGTTTAAGAAAATACTTATAAAATTTCGCAATTAATATGTGTAACAATGACTTCCTCCATTTTTATACTAAGGAAAAATTACATACTTTTACCATTTATTAGCCATCCGTGAATCAAATCCCTGCAAGATTACTACTGCAGGTCAGGGAATTATTCCAAGAATTTAAGATGAAGAAAATTTTAGATGAAAACATTAGAAACTCACAAATAATGGTATAAAGAAGTCGGTATGTATGCTACTTGCAAGTAGCATACATACCTGTTTCCCACATTGTCTGCAACATATTTCTCACCTGTTTCCAACATCTGCCCCGCATATTCACCAAATGTGAATATTTCTGAACATTTCTGAACATGTGGGAAACGAGGTATGTATGCTACTTGCAACACCTGTTACCTTTGTGTAAATCTCAAAACCTCTTCCTTCATCTCAAATTCAGGTTTTTGTGTTCTTTTGAGGGCATGAGTTACTGTATGTTCCTAATGCTGCTATCTACAAAACGAGATCCTTCTAGGCATTGTATTACATTTTTGTAGTTATTCCTCACTCAGTAGAATGGATTAGCAGAAACAATTGAAACAGGGTTCCAGTATGGCGTGATTTTCATTTTTAAAACAATGATTTTAAATGAATCTTTTTTGTAAAAAATGAGAAATTAGGTTCTATTACATATGTGGGGTTCAGCAGGGTACTGTAGCTGCTCTAAATATCCAGTTTCTACAACCTGGAGTGTCACTTGACTGTTTGCCACCATTAACTTACACTTACCTAGCACAGAAAAACTATTTTTAAAAAATCACTAATGACAGTTAAATATTTTCAGGGATAAGAGCATATGGGGCACGTGTGAGGGGCATGTGAGGAACATGTGCGAAATATGTTGCAGAACATGTGGGAAACAGGTGGGGGAAGATTTACAAATAGGCAAGAAGCAGGTGGGGGGAACATTAAAATGTGGAAAATGTAGGGAACATGCAGATGGCATGAAAAACATAGAGGTAACATGTGCAAAACATGGAAAGAAACATGCAAGGGAGCAAGCAAAAGGCGGAGGAATAGATACTAAACTATTCATACACCACACAACAGCCAAGGAACACTCGTGACGTTTTCTAGCATACCTTCATCGATAGTGGCCCTCACAGCAGAGGTGGGGGCTGCAAAGTTGAGATGTTGAGGTGCAGTGACAGGTTTCCGCAGTGAAAGTAGGAAGTCCAGCTGGTCCTCCTCCTTGCGAGGGGAAGGATTGCCAGGGGCATTCTGAGGAATTTCACGGGCAGGAGTACTCCTGGAGACTGCCTTTTGCTGTTGCTGTTGCTGTTGTTGTTGTTGTTGTTGCTGCTGCTGTTGTAGCTGTTGTTGTTGTTGTTGTTGTTGTTGCTGCTGCTGCTGCTGCTGTTGTTGCTGTTGTTGTTGTTGTTGTTGTTGTTGTTGCTGTTGCTGCTGCTGCTGTTGTTGTTGCTGTTGTTGTTGTTGTTGTTGTTGTAGCTGCTGCTGCTGCTGATGTTGTTGCTGCTGCTGCTGCCGAGCAGTCTTCTCTTTGGGAACTGCCAAAGGCATAGAAGGAGACTCCTTGACCATTTGAGGTTCGGGGTCCCTTTGCCTCTCACCGCGACGAGGTTTCTCCTTGTTCACAAAAGCAGAGACTACTGGCTTGGGGGCTTCAGGTGTCATTGGTACTTGAGTGTGAGGTGACTTTTCCTTCTCAGAAACTTGAGATGTGGTTGGTATTGACACCTCCGACTGATGTTGAGTAGGAGCAGGGGTGTGCGAAAGCTTCTCTTTAGGGACGGATCTTGACTCGGGCTGATCAACTGAATTCTTTTGGGGATCGTTCTGAGACAGGGCGGGTAATGATGGCGCCTGGCTTGTACCACTTGGGAGATGGTTCACAGTTTCGTCAGCGTCGTTGTCCTGCCCCCAGCTTCGCCGCTTGTTTGCTCTGTTCTTGCCACTTCTTGACTTCTTCTTGGCTGGAAATCACAACATATAATGAACACAGAATTTTTAAGACTTATCTAGAGTTGAGACAACTATTATTATTCAGCATCTACATATTAACATTTTTCTGAACATTCGTAAGAACAACTTGCTGAACAGACAGACCAAGAAATGGTCTTCAATTGAAAATGGTGGTCCACAAGTGCCCAGGAACTTCATCACAAAATGCTTGTTCTAAATATTAATAATTTATTCTTAAAAATGCAATTTCGAAAAACCTGCAAGCATCTGGCTTGTACTGTGCTGTATTTGCTGGTGAGCAGTGAATGCTTCCCTTCTGCCCTGGGCTGGTCGCATATCAGATGACAACGGGACTGGGCATGGTGCTTGTCCTGTGCACATGAGGTCATGTGTTGCAAGGGGCTTCGGTGAATATGTGATGGTAGTATATGGTGTAATGGTATACAGCACCATCACATTGCTTTGTAAGAAAGATAATTCCAGTAACATATATTGCAAAAGCGCTTCTAAATTTTTTCGTTTCAATGTGTAAATATATTAAAATGTAATGAAATATGCAGAAATAGGTAAGTTAAGTAAAAATATGTAAAATAAAAATGGTTCTAATTGATTCAGAATGTACTTTAAGCCCTAATAAATATTTTTGAATGCAGATGTTTTGTTCCTGTAAAAACATGTAATTACATGAAAATTCATTTCCTGGTTATTATCTTTCTTTATTTTCTGCACACAAAAACCATGTTTAAAAGTCTGGAGATGCAACCCCTGAAGTATAAGGCCTAGTGCCATGATGAATGGCTTCATATCATGCCAAGAGCATAGTAGTAAAGCGACACTGACAACAAAATATCTATGTTTGCAAGCATTGATGTTCAAAATTGAAACATTTATTTTGATTATACATCACCTACTAACTATCAATAATTTTAAACATCAATGTTTTAAAACATGTTTAGTAACTTCTAACATTATAGAACAAACCACGTTCATTTGGTTTGAACACATAAAGAGACAGTGGAACCATCAATTATTTAATTAATTTATATTTATTATTATTAATTAATTTAATTATTATTATTTATTAATTAATTTATATTTTAATTTTATTAATTCATTTATATTTTAACTTTATTAATTAATTTATATTTTAACTTTTACAAAATTTGGTTAAGAAAATTTTTCATCTACAAACAAAACATCGGAAACATAAAAACACAAAGAACAAAACATTGATGTTAAAAAAAATAGGTTTCAATACATCAAAATTTTAAAACCTGAATGTGATAGAAATACGAGACTTTTGAAAACAGCGGCATCAATGTGGCATCCCTATACTGCGATTAATGCATCTCTGCCCCTGGCATGTATCGGCTGTTGATGGTTTCATTGAATCGGGAGCTTGAATGTCACCATAGTGACATCGCTATGGTGATGTTCAAGCTCCTGATTGGATGAAACTGTCTACAGCTGATATTACTCGTGCACTTTTTCTTGGACGATTGATTGAAGAAATGCAGGTAGAGTGGTGGTATTGGTCATAAACTCTACCCCTAAATTTTATGAAGCAATGCCAATCTCTGGAGAATTATCATGCTTTTGCAACTTCTTCAATCATTTGTGTTCTAACTTTCTCAGAAGTTTGAGTTATTTCCTGTGATGGATCTTCAACTGCTTCAATCATATTTATTAGATTTTTTTTAAGATAAGTCCTTGTTTTCAACAGAAAATAGTTTCTATTTTGCGCCAGTGAAGAAGTGTTTGGAATGTCATCAGTTCTCGCAATGAGCTTTCGTCTTCAACTTTTATAGTGCCAGAGAGCGGGAAGGAAGATCATCGTCAAGAAATGTTGTACGATTAATTCCTGCCAAGGGCAGAGTTGCAAAAATCACAGAATAGGACTCAGTCTCACCTTGTGCTTCCCTGGGCGGTTCAGGCTTTGGTTCAGCCGGTGTCGGACTCCACTCCGAAGCAGTTGGATTCAGCAGCTGGGGCTGGGCTTCTGACTGCAGCAGAGGCTCGCTGACAGAAAAAGACGCACCCACGGGTGGATGAGCAGGCTCTTCCTTCTGCACATCAACAGCCTCTACTTCAATTGCTTGAGAGGCTGCTCCTGCTGATTCAAAATCTCTTTCTGCAAATACAATCACACACACACACACACTTTGTACTTCGTCACAGAAAAACAGTGGTTTCTTGACATTGGATGCCAAAGAGATTCATTGTGAATCTATTACTGTGATACTTCATACACCATATTAACAGAATAAAACAAAACGATTAGTTGTGCTTGTTTTCTGTTTGTCTACCAATGTACATTAAAATAAACTAGAATTGAAAAACTCGTACAATCTCTGTTATTCTTTCACTGATTAATATTCATGATTTTCATGATAAAAATAATCATGGTTGTATCATGATAATGATAATTATGTTCAAGTAAATAAGTATATTTAAAATAATGAAAATTGAGTGCTATTAATTTTAACCAATGCAACAATAATTTATTCAGTGTCAAAAAATAGTACATTATGAAATGATGGGTGTTAATACACGAGTGAGATATCATGATACGAGCAGGTGTCGTAAACTTCACATGAGTGTATTAATAACCATTACATCGACTTTCCCAAGGTACTTTTTCTATGACTAATGGTTACTGTCATAAGTTAAACTTTTACAATGAATCCTTTTGTGGCAATCAAGAGATATGTCTAGGTATTCATTCGCCAATGACAACGGTAGATTTTGTGCCCCTTTCAGGGTTGTTGTTATTTCTTTTTGTGGGTGTACTCTTAATAGCACCTCTTTTGAGTGGTGCCCAAGGAATGTGCCATGACTGCCATACCATATAGACACCTCTGGTGGCAATTGACATCCAGAATTTACCTAAGGCCACCTAGTGCTCTCTACTCTACTCAGCCACGGGTGACTGATTTACAACACTAGTCAAATAGGGTCAATGTGAAATTACAATCCAATTTATTTTAAATAATATTCTAAGTAAAAATAAAAATAAAAATAATAATAATAATAATAATAATAATAATAATAATAATAATAATAATAATAATAAAAGAAATTAAAACAGACAAGCATAATATAATGATAAATGCAATTTTGATGTACACAATCGATTGAAATATTTATTTGAATGACTCTCAATAATTAATTAAGTATCAATACTTGCTTTGTAAACTTCTCTGCGATTGGTCAAGAATCTGTATCATAATGAGTATCATTATGTAGCAGGTTGCAGCCATCAATTGACAGAATTATGCAATGCGAGTAGAAAATAAATATTATGTACTAATATTCAATAGAATTTCATTATAGCTCTTATTTTTTCCAATAGTGATTTACATTCTAATAATGACTCAATAAAATTGAACTAATAAACAATGACTAATAATATTAAAAATATAAACTTTTTTAAAGGTATTAATTTTTATAGTAGTTCCATTGCTTACGAGTGTCAACATACCTTTTCCTAAGGTAGAGGCAAGTGTTTCAGAAGAAGGAAGAGATGTCAAGACTACTGTCTCCTTTTCTACATTATTTGGAGTCTGTTCTCTCTCAACACTCTCCCTCTTGTCTTGTCTAGAGAAAGCATGTGAAGACCCTGTTCCAAAGTCAAAGGAGTCTTTGACAGAGTTATCAGGTGTTTGCTCTCTTTCTGCACTCTTCCTAATGGCATGCCTAGAAGAAACATGTGAAGGCTCTGTTTCGAAGTTGAAAGAGGCTTTGATTGAGTTGTCAGGTGTTTGATCTCTTTCTGTACTCTTCCTAATGACACCTCCAGAGGAAGACTCCATTCCAAAATCAAACTTATCCTTGGCCAAATTATCTGGTGTTTGTTCTCTGTCAGCACTCTTTCTAATGTTAGACCCAGCAGAACGCGAGGGAACTGTTCCAAAGTCAAAGGTGTCCTTGGTCGAGTTATCTGGCGATTGCTCTCTTTCTGCATCCTTTGTAACATTGGTATTACCCAATGCATTGTCTGAAGAAGGTGAACCGGTGAGTTTTTCCAAGATGGAACCATAGAGTGCCAGTCCCTCTTTGGCCTGCTGGGGTACACCCTTGGCGCTCCTCTGACGCCAAGTTTCCCGACCAAAGCGTGCCTGATGTTCCATATGTTCGAGTTCGTCAGTGGAAAATACATCAAGTGGAAGCTCAAGTTTCTCGTAAAGAGGCAGGCAAGCAAGTGCTGCAGCCAACACTCCCAGGTCAATGGTAAACGCAGCACTCTGGGTGGGTAGCCCCTTGGGGTCCCAACTGCGCTCACTTCGTAGCTGAAGGTGTGACCCCAATTGTGCAGCCTGTCGCAGAGTCTCAAAATCTGCTCCAATTGCCTGATCTTCATCTGGATCCTCTGGAGGAATCTCATACTTTGCCCAGTTACTGAAGATTTGTCGCTTGCCACCATGTTTCTTGACCTGGAGAGCAGCTATGTCATCTGTTTCTCGCTTCAAGTTGTCAAACATGTGAGGGTCAGGGATAGCTGAAACACATACGCACAAATTAATCAAAAAATCCTCTGAATTGGAAATTCAAAGATCAATTAATGTGAACCTGTCAGGCCAAGGGATTCTGCTTTGGATGAACAATGGCAGAGTGCAGATTTGTGAGCGAATGAACATCCCTGAGTGAGTGAATAAGCGAGCATCTACAAGCAAGCAGGCATGGGTGTGTACGCAAGGGTGCATATGCATGACTGTGCATTTGTTGGGGAAGAAAAGTCATCATTACAGATGGACTTTTTATTATGTACTGCACATGTCAATTTATTCAATTCTTTCTCACTCTGAAATGTGATTAACAACAATTTTTTGGACATTTTAAATTTCAAAATCTTAATTTGTAATGTTTCAAATTCATAACATCAGCCTGGAAGCTGTGTTAACCCTTTTGGCTCCTATGTCAAGTGGGGCTTAACATTGCAAAATTGTATTTCTGCATCTAAGTTGAATCCCACTCAATACACAATTTTCCTTCTTTTGAGAGATTCAAATTTATTTGAGTTTTGACGGGATGCTCACAATTGTGAAGAAAACAATTGGTAGCTGTCTACCATGTCCATTGTTTCTAATTTCATTTTGTTAGACAGTTTATTAGGCACTTACTGGTTAAATTTATGCTGATATAAACTAAACAGGTGTTTTACATATCTCGGTACAATAGCTAAATGGCTACAAAAAACTAGCCAAGCCAGAAAGCTGAATTTGATTTCCGGCTCGTCTGCCACAAATTTCCTGCAGAACAAAAGGCACATCAAGTTTGAACAATATGAAGATATATCATATCTCTAGCCATTTCGATTTGTAGGGCAGTTTATTAGACTATTAACTGAACAGAAGAGACATGATGTGAATCAAACTTGTTTTCATTGTTTCTCAACCAAAATGACTTCTTTTGTTACCACAAACTCTCCTAAAATAGGCAAAGCACTGAGGAGGCACATCAGTGGAACTGGAATAAAAAGCAGATGAAAACGTGGAGCCTAAAGAATTGAGAGTGCGCAGGGTTAAAAGAAAGTATGAGGTTGTAATCCATCTCAAACTTGAACATCAACTATTAATATTCAATTTTAATAAAATAATTCACATAATGTTTTACCATGTACTGTCACAAAGGCTTTTCCATTCATTGAAAATCAATGACAGCACTCCTCAATGTATTACAGTTAAAATGCTGATACTTTTCTCCGAATATCAATTTTTTGACCACAATAGGATCTCTAATCAATGAATTTTTAGATAATTGCAATAACAAAATAAGTATTCCTTTCAACCTCTCAATTATTTTTTAATAATCCTGTCTCACAAAATGAGTTCTCATAATATCCAGCACATTCACCAGATTCAACCAATTACTTTCAGGATCTGACCATTTCACTACATTATGACACAACAAAATTTCAAGTTTCTCTTATCTCAGAAAGTTACCATTAATTAAATTGTGTTCTCAATCTGTATATGCATGTGAAAGTATCTATCTAAAAACAATTCTTAAAATACCCACCTGTGTGATCAATGACCTTTTGGTCGTTTGGGATCGGCTTAGGTACAGGTGCCCTGCTGTCCCTCGTGTCTCTCCTGCTGTCTCCACCTTCTCTGTTGTCTCTGTTGCCATAGCCTCCTTGGTGTCGCTGGTTTTGAACTTGACTGCGACGATGTCGCTCACGCCTTTCTCTAAAATTATTAGTTTCCTAGTATAAGTAACCAATTCCCAAAAAATATTTACAATTCCATTGGAAGAATTTTTTCACGTGAATATACCAAACTAAATATATAACAAATCATTTAAACAGTAATGTCAGAAAAATTAACATTTGAAATACGTATAAAAAATAGGAAAATATAGTAAATGTTCAACAACAGAAGTAGACCTACAATGCAGAAGAAAGTTAAAGGAAAGATCAGTCTAATCTATATCAATTTTATAGAATAAAAAGTGTGATCAAATTATCGTATTGAAGAAATAAAGTACTTTATCTGGTGTAATCGTAAAATTCACAATACATAACTGTAGACTCAGCGAGTCCATAGATTCTTTTGATACAATATTTGATCGGTTTCCTCAATTGAAGAGAGTGGAATGGCATTTCTTTGAATTGTTTTCAAATTTTAACATTAGTTATTCAGTTGTTTTTTTAAAGAAATGTTCTGGAGGAATCGTTTGCATACACACATTCAACATTGGAAACAACATTGGAACAACAACAACAACAACAACAAAAAAGGTATGAAAGTTACTATTGTTAGTTACGAATTGCTGCTATTTTTTACAAAATAATTATTGAATTACCAATGAACGCTAGTTAGAAAAAAGGATCTCATTAAGTCGTACATATAACTTTATGAAGAGGAAAGTAAAACAGGTGCAGCACTGTGTGAATAAAAAACTATTTTAATTCCGAGAAAATTATCATTATAAAATGTAATTGAAGGTTATGCACCTCTTCTCCATGAACGTCTGTTAATTGGTTGTCAACCAAACACTTCAAAATCAAAATACAGCTTTATTAAAATTCGCTGGACATAATGTCATATATATTTTCCAAAGAAGACAGCAAAGATTACAAAAATGACAGAAGTATTCACAAGTCGCACCACGGGCCACACGGGCAACCAACAGCTAACGTCTCTTGCGAACACTTGCGAATGTGAAAGTCGCGATAGATGTCGAACAGATGAGCTTTAGCATGGCCAATGCATACGAAGTTCACAATTAGTTGAACTTCCTCTCCGACCAGCCCAATGACCTTGAAGTGCTACTATATATAAATTGGAGTATACATTACGGGATGTCTATTCTTCGAATTTTATAACAAGGTGCGACAGAGCCTGTCTTCACGTTGGAATCTCACGGCATTTCGCCTCTTTCTCAGTCGTACCGCTTAATGACGCATGAACCGCTCTGCTCGATACGGTTGTGACCATGCAACATGAAGGGGGGCGACTGAGATAGGCGCGAAATGCCGTGAGATATTCTAAAAATACTTATATTTTCGAAAAATTAAATGTTCCTATATATAATACCTCCTATATATAATATCCTACTTTCTCTAACATGTTGTGTAGTCAGAATCCATGTTTTGTGGCTCCTTGATACCGAAAAATCGTTTGATGGCAACTAACCGTGTGAGGTGGACGCTAGCACCTAAATTGTTCAGTAGGTTTTCTCTAAAATTGAGATTTTGCAATCGATCTGGCTGATGTCACGCGCCCTTGAATTTAAAACCGATATTTTAATTTTCGAGAGTACTTTACATAAAGTTTCTGGGTCATTTTCAAAATATTTTAAAAATACAGTGTGCAAATTTGTTTATTAAATTATTATGGAAATAAGAATTTTTTGGCCGGATCCGAAAACAAATTAGTGCCACATCGGGGCGCCATCTGACCCCTAGGGTCTAACAAGCCTTCGCTAGAATCCAGCAGTCAAGCAAATGAATTGAGGCGAAGAAATCGCCGGTTAAGGCAATGCTCCGAACCAGTTATCATTTGCTCTGTCCTTTCAAAGACTAGCATTCACCAGACAAGGGAATCTTACGATTGACCGCATTTCACTACAACTGCTATTTCTGTATTTTTGATGACTCAGTTTAATTATTTCAAATAAACTCGTATCCGTCACTTTGTAGAGTTTCGTTAAATGGAAAACAGCGTTAAGGGTCATTGGAAGTAGAATTAGTGAAAAAACTTGTATCTCTCGCCGATCCAGAGCTTTTGAGAGATTCTCAAAAGTCGGTACATAACAAATCAGGTTTGAATCGCTTATGGCGGCAAAAAGAAATAGACCTTATGCAAACAGCTTCATCGTGTTCCGGCACTTTTCATTACATTTAGCGCCCAACGTATGTTTTAAGCGCATTTCCTTGCAATAAACAATATAAAAAGCTTAATTCAACTTTTACAAACTTAATATAAGAAAAATACAAATTAATTTACTGTGATGTGTACTGAATATTGAACACAAATTTAGGGAATCGAAAAAAAATATCCATTACTTCTTAACTATATTGTACTATTATTAAAATAACATACCAGTTATCAGCAAAAGATCGTGAAATTTCAGCATATTAAAAAGACAGGAACTAACGTATTAAAGTACTTAAGAATATAATTGTTATAAATTAACAAGCAAATTGCAACTGCACAAACTTATTTAAAGATCTGTTTATTGATGAACACATTTCATTAAGAAAAAAATTATCTTCACAATTATAGTTGTAAAAAAAACCTGAACATTTTTGAGTCTTTGCAATTTTTGAAAAATCAACGAAAATTAGACCTGCTCAGACTAGAACTTTTCATGACCTTATTTCAAAAACTTTTTTTAAAGAACATATTTCAATGAGGGTAAATCTCTACCTTCAATATTTTAGTTGTAGGAAGATGTCTAATTTGCGTATAGCATAGCTTGCTCAGTTTACTGAATTTCTCAGGATTTCGTTAAAAGAAATTTTGGAAATAAACATCGTGTCGAACATTTTTTGGGAAGGGAATGATGTTCAATTTTGTTGTTTTAGTCCTTTCGTGAGTTCAACCGCAGTTCTAGAAAAATGTTGCTTGAAGATATTTGCCCATTTTTCGGCGTTACTTCTTTTTCATTATCCTTTAAAACAACATTCTCTACTAAGTATCGAGATGATGTGGTCGTCTTTTTTACGATACATTGCTTTAGTTTTGTTGCAATCGTTCAAAATATCCTAATTACTTTTCATTATTTTTGCCTGAACTTATACATTCCTTAAAATTCTTTGGTGTTTTCGGAAACCGCGTGATACGTTATGATGTTTAGAAATAAAGTTAGTGTTCCTTTGTTTTTATACAATGTTTTAATTCTTTGGGTAATCCAAAAATTATTTTTCTTTGAATTTGAAATGTTTAATTTTCTTTTTTTGACAGGAAAGCATTGAATTGAAGATAGAGATTTTTCCTTCAAATGAAATTTGTTGTCCATAATTAATTCTTTCATTAAGATCACGTACATTATTTTGAAAAAAATAGTAGTTTTCGTGCTATTGCGTGCAATATGTGCAATTTAAAAATCAACAACAATATTTTTTCAAAAACGGCTCACAATTTTTATTTTTAACTGTGGTAGTGAGAGTGCTAAATGAACTGCATGAGATGACATCAGTGCCATATTGCTATATTCTTGTGTTTTGTTTAAAAAATACAGAAATATAATTTTCTGACTTCTCTCACGTCGATTCTATTTGCATTAGCGGTTTGTCCACATTCTTGCTTTAGAAGTAAATGTGTTTTAAATGATGCCGTATAAAGTTTCTCGAAAAATCAAAAGTTTTCTGTGAAAGCAAGCTCAACATTCCGCTTTTCAATAACCTTCAAATGCCATTTTCTCATAAAAATTGCTGACATAAAATTAATTTTACGGTATTCTTTTGTTTAAAAAAATATGCAAAGGTAATTGTTTTGAAATATCGCTCACTCCATTAATATGCACATTTCCAGCAATTTGAATACACTATTGCATTTATGAATGGATACGCTTCAAATTAGTTCCAATAAAGTTTTCCGAAAAGTAAAAAATAATTTGTAAAAAGGTGCTTCAAATTTTTAGTAACGTTTAAACATTTTCGTAAAAACGGCTCCAAATTTTTCACCCAAAATTTCTAAACTAATATTCTTAAAGTAATGTTACGTTTCTGCTATTAGGAAACCGAAAAATTGAGCAAATGTGAAAAAAAATTATGTTAGGGCGGCAATAGATGGCAGCTGAAAAGAGGTTGAGGCACGATCCAAATGCTAGCACTGGCCACAAAAAGTGGGAAATTTACTAGTACGAGAAAGTCTGTGCCATTTGTAGCACTACAGGTTTAATTTTAAACCATAAAGTATTGGTTAAATATAAAACTTAATATTTCAATATATATATCAGAGAGCGAGAGAGAGTCGTTTCTGGACCCACCCCTGCATAAAGTGACAATTTTCATCGGGGACCAACCAAAAATAATAAGATGAAAGTGTAATTGAAATAGAAGATGTAATATGTAAAAAAATGCTTCATATATTTGTTTTAATGACATTTAACCAACTGATAATTATGGTATTTAAAATTCCCGCTAAATTGGTGCCAGAAGTTCATTAGCTGAAGTCAGATGCGAAGTGAAATAGCTCCCCCTTGTTGGTTGAAAGGAATAGCACGCGAGGAACAAAATAGTGTTGCTGGTGTCAAAGAGTATGTATGGCTGGTGTTGCATGTGACCAGTGAGTACAAGGAAGGCAGCAAAAGGCAAGTTGCAGGTGTGAACTTGTTATCGGATGACATGCTGGGTGACATTAGTTGAAATTTGAAATTTTAGTATTTTGGTCGAACTTTATTTTGTTATAAATACGTCAACTCACTGTATTGGGAAGAAAAAACAGAAAAATAGTATAACAAAATGTACAGAGATTAGTGAAATCGTGCTACTCGAAATGGCTGCGTTTTCAAATCTAAAACGTAAGATGAACGTTCATTCCGGCAGTTCTTGTAGCAGCGTTGTGTCGAATGAAAATGGCATAGAAACGGGCTATATATCTGATAATTCAACCAGTGATGTGGAAACAGTGAATACGTACGAACATTCTGTGGAAAATGGTTTTATTGGTAAGGAGGGCAATTCGGTACTTCCTCAGTGCAATGTTGTGAAAAAAGAATTAATTTTGAATGCACAGAGCCGAAAAAAACTTGATTACGGAGACGAAGTGGAATCTTATCCGATGCCCCGCAAGCGGGCAAATTGCGTGTCCAAAAATGCTTTAATGGCCCGTGCAAATCGCATGAAGAAGAAACAGTATTTGGAGGATATGGAGAAGAAACTCCAAGAATTGACGGAAGAAAATGAAAAACTAAAATTACAGGTCAAAAAGAACAATGAGATCGCCCAAAAGCAAAGTGAAGAAGTAAAGTATCTGAAAGGTGTTTTAGCTAATGCTCCTGAGATAAGTACATTACTGAAGTGTGTACGGCAAAGATCAAGTCTTCCTGTGACATCTTCAATTAACAAATTTTCTGACACCTATACATTAAAAGAATCACCTTTTGACTTAGGTGAGTTGATTTCTGAAGATGTTTTGTCACAGCACTGTCATACATTTGCACCAAATATTCGTAGTAATATTCTTTCAAATTTTTCAGATGACCCTCTTTTATCAAGCTGTGACTTGGAGTCCTTCAAAGAATTACCAGATACAGACTTTCTGACGCAGGATCTTTCTGATAAGACTTTAGATGTATTGGAAGGAAGTTCATCTACAAATGTTGGAATATGTTTGCATGTTGCTCAACAGAGGGTCTCTTTAGAATTTTGTCCCACATGCAGTATAAATGCTACTGCAGCTTGGCAAGATAGTAATGGCTGAACGGCAAAGCTGGTGAAACCTGGATGCACTTTCTTGGATTTTATTAGTGAAGACTACTACAGTGTAGTGTGTGAAACTTGGTCGGTATCTAATATATGAATGAAACACTTAAACTATGTTAGAGCAACTGGCAAAGGCAGTTCAAGAGTAGGGGATAGTTTTGGAATTTCTGCAGCATTTTGAATGATTTTATCATTTGTTATTGTTGTAATTTGTATTATGCCCCTGTTGTTATTTTTCAGGTGGCTTCGGCTTGGAAGGATTGCAGATACTTCCTTCCAAAACAAGACATTATAAGGTGTGGTATTTTCTTCACCTAAAAGTCTTACTTAGTGAATCCTTTTTCTTCAGGATTTCGTTATTTAGTCTCTAGAAGTGGAAAAGCCATCAGACTCCTTTACTGGAACTAAAAGTGTTCAGTGTTTTTTTAAGAATGACGTAATCATAACCTTATATTTTTGTGATTGTCAGTGATAAACTTACAAATATTGAACTGAGTTGGTCAATGTTATTTTCATGTTGTGTAGGTTGTCTTTGATGTAGATGAGGATGTAAAAAAAAATAGTTGCAAAGAAAATGAATTTTAAAGTTATTGCAAATGGCAGATTTTTGTATATATATTTCTATTTAATTTTCAAATAACTCTCCCTGTATATTTAAATTTAAAGATATTACTACTGGTCACTATTAAAAATTTCATTGAAGCTTTGCTATTGATATTAAATTCTGTATTTTATTCTACTCCTATTGATGAAAGAAAACTACTAAATAGTGTCTACTATACTCTACTCTATAATAATATTGCATAGGTTGAAAACATTACGCTCTTTTTTCATCCTACATTGGAAAATGTTAATGAATGCTGAAACGCACAAAAAACACTTTATCATCCATCAACCACTCACGGTTGCTGTAGCCTAGTTTCATTAATAGGAGTGGGTTAATATCAGCTCACTGAGACTTCAGTGTACAGATGTAAAGCAAAGCTTCTCTGAATTCCAGATCTATTCTGAACAATTTACTTTTGCTTTGCAGTCTTGCTGTGTTCGCCTGCATGGTCTCTCACCATAAGCACAGTGGTAGAGTATTGAAAGTGTCTAATGGTCGGTTGATTTTCCTTTCAATTTTCACTTCATTTCCCCACAAAAGTCACAATATTTCATTACATAATTTTATCATTATTTTTTAAGAATACTCTTGTAATGAATTTTATTAATATTCCCCATTGTTATGGCATGCTAATCAAATTATCAAATTGAATTTTGTGGATGTAATACTGAGCAAGTCAATTTTACTTTTCAGCAGTCATCGGTGGGTCAGTTGGAGGGAGATGGTAGGTTTAAGCACCCAAAACAGGGTTGCAAGGTGAGATTGGGTCTGTAGTGATCTTCGTTTTGAATGTGATTCACATTATCTTGAGTTATAGGTGGCTTGTTGTGGATCCGGCCTTTTTAGCGTCAGGGAACTGAAGACCAGTTTAATTTCTGTATTTATTGTAGATTTTCTTATTCTTAACGTGAATTTAAATATATTATTAAAATAAAATGAATTTGATAACTATGAATTTTTATTTCTTCCTCATCCTTAAACTAGAGTACCTACATTCAAAGCCTATAGCTTAAATTTTAATTTTATTGTTTTTGATTATTTAATAAATTGACATAATTAATAATATAAAGTGCATTTGATTAATTAGTATGCAAAGTTTAATATTTTTCTTTTTAAAAATTTCTTCTTGCATCGATATTTATATCAATAAAAATTCGATTACATTTTGGTGATGAATAAAGGCTAATATATCTACATACCATAGTAATGTATTAAAATATCAGTTGGGCAGTACAATACAATTGTATTTTGTGTCAAAAGTACATATTTAAATGTGTATTTATGTTGAACATACTTTGATGGTATTTTGTAATTTCAAAATACAATAATACTTTTTATTGACTCATTGAAAATTTGATTTTAAAAATAGTCAAACCTGGAAACGCAAATATTGATGAGGCAAGATGGTTTTGATTTCTCAAAATTTTGGTTAATTGAAAAAAATTAATTTTTGGAGGCACTTTGAGATATTGACTCACTGATTTTGGAGATCACTTCTCAGATGTTATATTGTCCCATGCATCACCACAAGTCTGGAAGGTGGTTATGTGTGCTGATTAAAAGCTTGTGCTTGCACCATATAGAGCTAATCTTATGATGAATGTGGAAATTGATAAATCATCAAATGGTGCTATTCTAAAGAGAACATTTCACTGTTGTTGAAGAGTTAGGTGAAAATATGAATGCGTAATATAAAATTTGTAAGCCCACCCAACAGACAGTAAGTGGTCCCTATAATGCGATCACAAATTTTAAGACACAATGGAGTTAAAATTAACAGTTACCCGGGAGATGTGGCTCACAGCATCAACTGATGTCACTGCAGTGCCTCAGACTAAGAGGTCCTTGGTTTGAGCCCTGACGATGGCAGGATTTTCGACACTAGGTAGGTCGGGTTCAGTCACTGACAGGAGGACAATTCTAGTGGCTGGCTGCTCTGATTGGTAATTTTCCATGATTTCTCTGATCAGTACCAGGCGAATGCCAGAACAGTACCCTAACAAACGGACTGTGCATGATCTTTCCTTCCTCTTCCTTGCCCTTTTCTTACACACAGACGAACATGTACTACACTACCACATCTACTGGGTGACTGGTTGAGAGCTTGACTTGGCTGGTGGGAAATACCTGGTTGTAGAAAAGTTCGACGGTAGGTGAGTGCCAGATCGCACCATCCAGCAGGGAAAGATCAACACTGTTTACCGAGAAGAAACATGCACTACACTTACAGGACGAATGGTCCTAGCAGTTCACACACCCGAAATCACCAATCAAATGGGCAGTAATATTAAAAAGTTATAAAACGTCCACAATGGTGATCAGTAGATAGATAATTTCACTGGACATCTCTTTACTAGGGAACTGATAATTTCTTTACACATTTTAGAAAATTCATTGTGGTGTAATGAGTGAATTTGAGAACTATAAAAATGTGATTCCAGACTATCAAATCTGAGATAACCAGAAGATCAAATTTACTTCGGAGGAAAAAGAACAGCAATGAACTGAGAATAGTGACACTAGAAATGCCGTGAATGAAACAAGTGTGCTTAACATGTGGTTTCTTCAATATGCAGGAAAAGGGAAATGATAAAAAAATTCAGTGTTAATGGAATGAGACCCTTATGAGAAAGATTAGTGATACAATGTTTGAAAAACTAGTAGTATTGAAGATACAATTACAATATGTCCATTTGTAAATCACAACCAAGATTTGATAAATAAATTGTGAAACTAGACCACTATTCCTTGTATTTTCAAAAGTATTTTAAAATACTGGTTTCTATCTAAAATGGTTTTATGGAAGTAGTTTGTATTTGGTACCTAAAATACTTTCGATGAAGTATTTTGTGTCTGAAATACTTTGTTCAGATATTTTGCCCAACTGAATATATTATACTAAGACTTATAATTCAATATTTCCAAACCTTTTTCTGATTGTTCATTTTCTGAGTGATTAATTCTGATTTTTTTATCTACATCTACTGTAATAACTCAAATTATAACCAACACTTCTGATAAATTGCATCCTTTTCATTCAAAAAGCACAAGTGTTTTCAGAAACATGAAAAATAATTGTCAGTGGGCCTCTCTTGGAAATGCTCGAATTAAGCAAATTTTGATCATTTGTAGCAACCCTTTTAAAGAAAACAATCGAGACCCTTTTGAGATAGTAGTTGCCATTCCATATTAACGTATATAATTGTTATCAATAAGACAAAATGTGCACTAGATTTTAGTAATACTGGATTGTTTTGTAATTTTTACTTGTGTGTAAATCACATTGAAAGTAAAACTTATTATTACCATGATTTAACTGTCATAAACATAATATTTTAGTGCTCATTCAAGTTTGTTAAATGGTAGATAGGTAAGTAATTTGTTTAATGCCCTATTCAAAGGAAGTTAGAAGATACATTCCTTCAGCTGCAATTTACCTCTAAGACATACATTCCTTCCCTATTTATTTATTTGATTTAATTTTGCATTTGTGTTAGCATTCCATTATATTTCATGTACTACTTGCGGGATGACATTAATATTCAACTTTGCATTAACTTAAAGTAGACTTTTCAACGTATTTAACGTTTCAACTTTCTAACGTAAAGCATTGATATGATGGGGGGCAAGAACCATAGAAAAGGTTAAGTAAATGTTATAATGTTTTATTCATAAGTAAAGGGTAGGTATTGAAACATTGATTCATAAATTTTTAACACAAAACTACATTTTTCAATCTGTGATAGTTTTCAATCATTACCTCTTGCTAGGTCAGGTATTCATTTCTTTCTCACTTCATTGTATCACACAACACAATATTACAGTGTCATAACTGTGTCAGTTATACTTGCAAATTTCATAATAGATACATTTGACAGTACAGTTTCCTCAAGAGAAGGATTGTTTCACACATAATTGTTTTTAAAACTTTAATTAGGATGTTTTATTGTTCATAAGCGTCATTTTATGACACTGGGTATGCTACTGTAATATTGTTTCATCATGACTATATGTACTGCGATCCATACATTAAAATCTAATTGCTGTTGTTGTTTCTGTATTTATCTCACAGCCTAATATTTGTAAAGGAGGCAAAACCTAGTATTTTATGTACGTACAAATACTTCCTAAAATTTCCTAAACATCAAGGATTTAGTCATTAGTAAGGAATGAGCATATAGAAGGAGTGGCTTTCAAACTCAATATTAAAACAAATTCTATAAGAACAATATCGTTAAATTCATCTTACAATGTAACTGGTAAGATCACATGAAACTTACAGTAGGAATTAAATCCCACAGAACCAGAGAAGGGTTGAAATATTTTCAAAACATTTTACAGAATGTTGAAATTTTCAGGTTCATTCAAATTTTTGAATATGCACTTGGGAAAGAGAAAATTCAATACAAATTTTTATACAAAGTACGTAATCTCATTCAGAGATGAAATATGTACAATTCAATTAAACTCGTTAATAAAAATAAGTTTGGTTGCAATGAATTCAAAATCCATTGAACTAGAAGCCAATTATCTTAATACCTACTTAAAAAAATTTAAATCATAGTTTTCTAAAATTAATGGCACTGAGCTGAAACAGCAAGTTTTTGCAGAGGGAAAGGGGTTTTTAAGAAAATAGATAAGAGATTAAGTATTTAGGCAGATAGGCCGAATTATTGAGGAGTCTTTCCAGTTCAGAATTGGATGAAAATATTAATACAATTATATTCTCAGAATAAATAACCTGAAATACTTTCAAGACAATTCTTATTAGAAATGTCTTTACAGAAACCACCCTGTCTGCTTCTAATGGAAGAAGATGACACTCAATTTTGTATACTCTTTCAATACCAGTTGTATCTCTAAATTGAGACCTTTTAATTCTAAGTGAAACATTTATATTTGCGTGCATCAGGATCAATGAGAGTGTAAATTTCTGCACATTGTACTCAGTGTCATTCTAATAGTAAAATATTTAAGGGAAAATCATTCATCAATTCTTTCTTCTTTTATTCAAATTTTAAGAATTAAGAAATTTAAAGAAACATCACAGCATTCAAAGTAAAGTGCTTTCTTTATTTAAATATGTAAAGTTGTTGTATTTCTATTAAATGTGCCAACAACACCTGTATTTACTCTTTAAGCGAGTGAAATCCATTATTAGGTCACACTTTGACTTATTACATTAATAAATTAATTATCAGTTTATGTGGCCAAAAGTACTTTCAAGTAATAGTAATTTCAAGTGTTGAGCTGATTACATTCTAACTGCACTCATTTTTAAATCTCATCTCAGACATGCCATGAATATTGAGTATATCACAAATGTACTTATCTGTAATCTTGGTATTTACAGCACAGACCAAACTTATATGAACACAGGATGAGAGTAGAAAAATATTGGCTACACATAAATATATAAATTACTATAATGTTTCAGTAATTAGATAATTTTCAGCACAGCTGGAAATCACTCTGATTAATGAAGAAGCACAGAATTCATAAACTTGAACACTATCACTATGTACATCGTACTTCACACTGATGGCACTGTTGTATATATTTCATTAGCAACCATCATTCTTATATGCAAAAAAATATGTCAATCTTACATCCACCTTATAAATTAAATTCTTTTAAATTCTTAAATCTTCAACAATTCAATACATCTGGTTATAACCAGTGCTTTTAATATATTATAATGTTCAAAATAATTTATCTTCTATTCAACAAATATTTTACATCTATTATCAGAATATAATGGAGCTTAAATTGACTGCCCTGTTCTTTAGCTCACAGTAAATTATTTGGATATTTGATATCAGTGGATGTAGAGTTTTGGCTTTTATCCCTCATACAAATTCACATTTCTGAATCATTCATAGGAATTAAAGAATTGGTTAGTTGAACTTTGAAATCAATGAATATGTCGTAAATCTGAAAGCTGAAAATTTATTCATAGCTGTTTAGAAAGTAATAACTGATGACAAAGTTTTATTTTTATGTTGAACGTTGATGAAAACGTGTGTAATGAATGATACAGCCTCACCCTTCATCCTCCAATATTTGATTTGTCAAGATTGTGAACATTTAAACAATACATAGAATATATAAAGGGGAAGCAAAACACACATTTTTATCTCGGTAACAATAGTATTGAGCATAGAGAGCATGTACACATCTCACTCTTAAGCTTTTCACTGTTTTGTGAGCTTACGCACGACCCAGACAAACACGAGTAAACTTATTTTCTCTATTTCACAGACATGACTAATAATGCTCGACTCATCATAAACAAAAGGCATAATTCTAAGCTTCATAGAAATAAAAAATAAGGTCAGCACATCTACTATTCTTATCTCATTTCTATGAAACCAATTAAATACATGTGCCAGGAGGAACAACACAGTTCAATTTTAAACCAATCTTGAAGGAACATCTTTTGTCAAAATAATATTAAAAACGGAAATAACCTTGAATTTTTAATGAATTAAGAATTTTCTACAAGCCTGCTACTATGCGTTTGTCAGGCAACATTGTTAAAAGAAAAAAGATTCCATTCAGTTCCTTCAATTTTGTACAAACTGGGCAATGAATATTAAAACGTAGATATTCAGAATGCTGCAATAATAATCGGTTTCACCTCATGGAAAATGTCAAACTAGAATGAGTAAATTTTTATTTTGACTATTTCTTATATGTTCTGCTATTAATTAAATTTGTTAAAATGTAACTGAATATAACATTGTTTTGAATAGAGATTTCTTGTGAATCTTGCTGTTCGACTTCATGCTACATAAAAATAAACAATATTTGAAAATTTTGTAAGTTTGATTTTTACAATAACTTTCTTTGCTTTCATTGTTTAAAATGTTTTTAAAAAGGCATTCTTCCTTTGATGATTAATAAGTCATACAAAAATTTTGGAAGAATATATAGGCCATGGCAGTAAAACATCCAATGATAAAGCTAGATGTGGAATTCACAAGTTCTTTATCAGAAATCAAAATTATTACCATATAATAATTATCAGACAGATGTCAGTAATAGAACATTTATATTGCTGGAATGAGTTTGCTCCATCTTCCATAGGAACTAACCACTTTGAAGTTCATGTTTTCATGCATTCTTCACATAGAAACACTTAAAATTGACACATACAAATCATAAACTGCATTACTATTCAATCTAAAATATTTACAGTAGTTCAGAATCAAAACTTTATCTTATACCGTACATCTCTAAGAATTGTCTATTATTCTTTATATGAAGAAATAGTGCAAAAGAAGAAAGAAATGAAGCTCAACACCTACTGAAACACAGTTTACAGGAACATTATTATACTGTTTATTATTATGTTAGACAACGAATATCACACGGACATTACATACACACACGGACACATTAGTAAGAACAGCAATTACCTACCTACGCATAACTAAACACATTCTACTCTAAATATATTACTTTCTATATTTAAAATTCAAATAATATTTCTGATGATATATGATATCATGAAGAATGAATCTCATAAGTGTCAATTGTGACAAGCTTTGAAATATACCACATCTGATTAATGAACCATTTCTCATTTTATCATATCACGTAAGTCACAATAAACTCATTTAGAGTTCATTATGTATTTATGAATAATACTTTTCTTATTATTTTACATCATTGAACATCCAAAGAATACTTTTGGCGTTCAACCTCACCTCTTTTTGTCTTCATAAAACATTTTATCAAGATGCGAAATCCTTCTGTTACCATACACTATTAATACTAACTACACTTGTCTGCCATCTGACACCCTAACATGATGTCAGTGATGCCAGTTAAAATGCCACATGAGCTTCTTTAAGACACTATTATAACAAACACGATAGAGAGTGTTAATGATGAATTTATGTTAGATGGATGTCAATGCTATAGAAAAGTGAACAGTTCATGTATGTCAGAGATGAAAGGAAATAATGTAATTATGAGATCATGTCAGTTGTGCACAAGACATTTACACGAATGTAAGACTGTACAGCACATCACTGAGAGAGCCACGCACAAGAACATGTGCTTTAAACTATTAAGCAAGAAGTGAACTGCATGATAACAGCAGTGTAATAGAGTACACCAATGAAGTATCTTCATTTTACACACAGATTTGTCTTATGAAATGTTCTTATCATACTTGATTTTACTGGGGGAGCAGTCACAAGAAATGCACACATTATATTACATGAAATGTACAGAGCAAGCTTGGAAATATATATACATAGAAATACCAAAGAAAATTGGTATGTTGCTAACTTACTTTATATTCATGTTTAATATAACATTACCAGACTGAAATCAAGCGATTAAAAATTGTAGAATTTCATGGTATGTTCATAATATGTGCATAATGAAATACTTTTTTCAATATTAACAAATTGAAGATGAAAAGAAACAAAATGTTTAAAGTTGAGAAAAGTAACAGGTATTTATAACTTAGTAAGTTGTAAATATTCCTATAACTGGAAATGCAATGAACTTTAAACTTGCAACAGAAACAAACTTTTCCTGACTGCTGCAGCAGAATGTTGCGTTGGCTTCATTCTTCTGATGCGGCTGTGCCTTGCATTTGAGTAAATATGCAACACTGTACAAATGTAAAGCAACAAAAAGAGTTGATCTTCACGAATAAATGGTGATCACTTCTCGACCACCACCTCTCACCATAAGCACACGTTCCAGTCCTTCAGTCAGAACCTCCAAAAATTCCATATCTATCAAAGTGTTAAGAAAAACATGTCTCCTTTTTAGATTTGAAATATATAAATTTTTAATGTAAATAAGTATGAATAGATAGCAAAAGTGTCTTTTCAGCATCATTGTCAACCAAAATAAATTCAAAAATATATTTTTCAAGTACCTGAATCTGATGTGATGTCTATCTCACTATAATATTAAGGGGCATTTAGATATGAATGCTTTCCTTGTTCTGTTTTGTCAATGCTCTTATAAGTCATAAACAAATAAATAAAGTTTTAATGGAGAAGGAGGCCCAGAAATGTAACTGTTCCCCTTCTTGATTGCGGAGGTGAATGCCTATGTAAGTAAATCTATTTAATAACATAATTTGATTTTCTGTTAAAATTGCATTTTAATACAACACTGAGTCAGTATGAAGTTAATAAGAGTTATGCGGAATAATATTTAAGCAACAGGAACTTATTTACTGGGTACCTATCAAGAGAATCTGTAATCTAAGAAAACTGATTGAGGAATTCATTTAACGGAGCTAATTTTCACAATCCAAACATTAAGTTATTAACATATTCAATATCTCTTTTTTTAAATCTACTTACCTAATATAATTACCTATTTTATGCAATAACTTTCAAGAATCTATCATAATCCCCTTTGACTATACATTTTTAAAATTAGTGACAAGCCTATTACTTTCAATTTTTGAAAGAGAGGGGAGTTAAATCAAATGGTCATTAGTCATTCCAACAGCTTAACTTCAGTGCAAGTTCTATTCATAATAAAATTCCAAAAATGTGGAAATGTCTTTGGAATGTCAATGCAGCATTATTAGATAGTGCCCAAAAATAGTGATTTGGAATTTCAGATTCTTGAGGTTTCCATTCTCAAATATACCTTGGGGTAATACGTTTTGGTTAAACACTTGCAAATAGGAAGCACATAAAACAGAAATTAGATTCATTTAAAGTGATTTAAAAATCAAAATTAACAAATATGAATATAAAGAAAAGTAAGTAAGGAAAAGAAAAAAGAAAAAGACTTGTCACATATAAAACAGGCTACTTCCAGAATTGTTCATTCATTTTTTTAAACTAAAGAAGTTTGTTATCTTGAAAAAGAGAATAAACAAATGTCATCTAATAGATGAGACTCAATAATGAGGAAACAAACCAAATGTATAAGCAGTTTAACTTGATATTATACTCATGTGGCTAAGCTCCCTCTCGCACTGGAAGTCTGAATTGAAATTGGTCATAATCTTGTTTCAGTTTTACTCAAAACATGATAAAGATCTGATCAAACCTAATACATATAACAGTATACTTTCAATTTTTTTCATAAACAACAAGTAATGAAAATTGAACATTTTAATTTAATTGCTTAAATTATGATGAGTAACAATGCCATCTTTCTCTTTTTTTTGGCTTAGAGTAACTGTTAATATGATACATCATTTAGACAAAAAAAAAATTCAATGCCTTAAGGATACAATTTGATTCCTTCTCTATTCTTGTGTCTCGAGGTGGACCTGGCAAATTCAATATCACCAGCTGAGCATCATGAGACTTATTTACAATCACTTCATTCAGCTTAACAGCAGTATGCATCCTTCTTACATTTCCTTCATCACTGGAAGAAAAGAGGGCAAAATATCTAGTTTTAGAAAAATATTAAGTATCTAAATGAGAAATTAATAGGCATTACTGAACACAAAATTAACAATTTATCAGTTTCCACTGTCAGTACCACTTACGTGAAATACTTACTGCATTATTATCATAAAGAGTAAATTAATGTTAAGATAAATTAACATTGTGAAGCGTAGTTCAATTTTAAAACTATATTAATATATTTACTTTGATTTAACTAAAAGAGTGATGAGGGAGAGGGCACTTTGTAAAGGAATCACATGATATTGATAAAGGATCAGGCAAAGATCAGAAAATTCATATCAATGCTATACTATCTAGTAAACACACAAGTTACATGACCAAAATTTGCTAAAGAAATTGAAAAAAAAGGCACACAGAACTTTGTGATATCAGGTTATGAAATAGACATAAAAAGTTTTGGAATTTTGAAGAAATATCAAAATTCATACGAGATTTGCTAAAGTTTTTTAGCAGTTTTATTTTTTAATCAAGAAATTGAAAATGTAAAAGAAATCAAAGATTTTGGTATTTTGATGGAACATAAACTATCATTTCACAAAAATGGTGTACTACTCTCTTAAAATATTGGGTACTCGACCTAAGGTCTCGGCAAAAAAATTCAATCTCTACTGTGAAAAAACACCCACTTGGTGCACTTAATATGAAAATAACTGTATAAATGAAAAGTAATTGAATTTATAAGAATTATAATACCATTTTCACTAGCATATGCTAATTCTTCAATAAACATATACATTATATTAGGGAAATAAAATATAAAATACCTATAGAATAAAATAATTCAAATGAAATGCAATAAGGAAAAACAATGGATTAAAATTGCATAGACAGAATAATTACCGTAAGCATTAATTTCAAATTTTTAATGAATATTTTTCCTTAATTATGAGGACATATTTGCTTATTAAGACATTATAGATAAAGACATTTTGTTATTAGCTCTATATTTGTTTTTCCCTGAATAATTCTGTGCATTTAAACAGTAATTCAGGACAATTATTTTTAAAAGAAAAGAATTAAAATATCTTAATCTATAGTGTAGAAAAAAATAACTGGGAGCAACAAACACATTTTTGAGTTAGTACTCAGCTCTGGTCTGAGGGATGTGTGCAGCATGGACCTAAAGGAGGGAAATATTTTTGAAAAAAATATTTTATGTAACAATAAATTATAGATTATCACAAAACTTTTCGAACAAAAATATTTTTGGATAGTCATTAAAATGAAGAAGATCATATTGTAGCATGAACTCTATCATTCTACATAAACTGTAATATGACACATTCAACCAATAATCTTTAAGTATCACTTATAGAACATTTAACTCAAGAAAAACTTAAAGGGGAAATTGCACATTTTCCCTATTTTTTTTAAAGTTTTTCTACAGCTACAATATTGAAGATACAAATTTTTTCCTTAATGAAAGCTGTTCTTAGAAGACTGATCTTGAAATAAGATTGTGAACAATATTTGGAAAACATGAGTAGTTTTTGCATAATTTTGTGTGAAATACAGACAAATTTTTAAACAATTATGTTTCTCAAAAACTGCACCAATTTTTTTTAAATTTAAAATAAAGTTTTCGGCGAACACTGTATTTTCGATAATTGTAAAACGTTAATATTGCAAAACTACAATATTGAAGATAGAGATTTTTGTCTTCAATATTATTCTAAAAAAATCATATTTTTTAAAAAGGTCAGGTACAATTGTTGAAAAAACAAAATTTTTTTAATTTTTGCTTGAAATTAATGAAAATTATAAAAAGAATTCTCAAAAAACTCTGCAATTTTTTTCTTTAATTTTATTCCATTAATGGAGAAAGGGATGCTTAAAAGAATGGTGCAAAATTTCGTTATTTTTGAACTCTGAAGTTTTGAAAATTGCAAATTTAGCAAGAATATGAGGAAGAAAATGTTGTTGTCCTACTAGTTTACTATTAATGTTAATGTCATATTAACTAGCCTGATCTACAAACCAGTATGCTTTGGAACAGAATTATGATGATGCTAACAATAAGAGAGAAGCTTTAGCTCCCTTGAAAGACTAAGAAACAATATTATCTAGAAATGATTGAATCATGTTATCATATGTCACAAGCATCCAGATTTGCTGAATCTTTACAATGAGAAGAGTAAGCAGCTAGAGTTACAGCAGCCAGTGACTACCACAGGACAATCTTTGGTTCAATCAGAATTACAAAATTACCTATTTTGCTTTCATCAAAATAGGTCACAATTTTTGGTGTTGAATAATTTTCTGTTTACTGTCAGAGTACATGAATAAACACATAAATAGCTGCAACATAATTTAATATGTTTTTACCACCTTGTTAACTTCAATAAGTTAATTAAAAAATAATGGCTCAAACTAAAATTGTGCATAGGTAATAACATTCTTTGATGTCCTTCCAAATTTTGTGCCAGAGATGCTCAAGAGTTCTGGGCTCAGTAGAATTCAAGGCTCCTACAAGACAAGGCACATGAAAGACAAGGGAGGAACTTGTATGCCCAAATTGAGATTTCAAGCTGTATTCCCCTGTGTTAAGGTGATGTGGTATAAACTTGCTCTATTGACAAAAACATGCAAGTCAATTTTTTCATGATTGTTTTAAAGCAGTTAATAGAAAATATTTTTTTGTTATCACTTTCATTAAATATTTGCATTTTTGTGCTCTAGAGTCTTTAAACTTCCCATTTTAATGCTCTGCAGGTAAAAACAAAGTAAAAGTAACAAAAACAAGCATATTTTTGTGTCTAATGAGAAGTTTGAGTTTTTGACCTGCACTGTTTTCACAAAAGGATGACAATAAGTTTTAACGTCCCTTCCACCCATCCAGCTATAAAAGTTCAAAAGTCTAAATACTTACGGTGTTATAGAAAGCTTTTTCTTTTCATCTGATTTACTTCCAGCTTCATTAGCTTTTGAATCTGATTTATCCTCCTGCTGAGACTCAGAATGAATAGAATTTTCATCTCCTTCTCCTTCTTTTGATTGAACGTTTTCTTCACCCTGGAAGTAAATTAACAATGGGCAACTGAACCAAACTGCATAAGGGCCACACAATTAAGTCTTTTTATCACAAACCATTACCTCCTTATTTGCTTCTTCCTCATTGCCCTCATCCGGGGGCTTAGAATGTTGCTGCTGTTCCTTTTGATCTGAACCTTCTTTGCCTGGTTCTTGGAAGCGTACTTTTGTTGCAGTTTTCACATCCACATTATGATGATGATCAACAATTGCTTGGACCTAAAGATGACATAATTCTATGTTAAAAATTAATTGGCACGAACAAATTATGAAATTTTTTACTATATTAATGAATTCAGAAATTTTCTCAATATTATTTATTCTTGACATGTTAGCAGGGTATCTTTGAATAACAAACTTGAAGAAATATAAAAAAATAAAAATTTAATTACTTTGTTGACTGAATTTACCCTTAACTTCTTAAGATAAGTGAACTAAACGAGAGTTAATATGAAAGCTGGGATGTGGAGAAAGACTTGAATAAGAGGCAACAGAGACAGTGCTGACATGTAAGGAAACCCCCTTGGAAACAAAGAATTGTCCATACACTTAGATTACAAGAAGAAAGAAAAGATACATCAGTCTAGGTTAAGAGCTGGTTAGGCATTTCGTGCTATGGACAAGGGACAAGCTAGCGCTCTCTTTGCAAGCTTCTTGTAAAACAGCAGTCAAACTGTAATGGAGATCATGCGAGACAGAATGCACACTTGGGGAAAAAATGAGTTCAGATTTCAAGGTCAGAATTCAACTATAAAGCGACAGCAAAACTTTGAGGGCATGTGTTTGCTTTTCAAACCATGTCAAAGCAAATACTTTCTCAGAGGTCATGAATCACATCATATGATGCAAAGTTTTTCTATTGCTCCAAAGAAATTGATGTAGTATAACAATATGCACATATTGACATATACACATTGATTCAATTATATGTGAGGATGGCTTATATTTAATATTTTTATGATGTGATGTATCACCTCTAATTGGCTGCGCTAAAGTCTTAGGGTTGGGCAAACATTAAACATGGGAATTTCACAAACCAGAGGCAGTTTTTCCTCCGATGGAACTTCGTTGAAGTCTACAAGAGTTTGCACCTTTGCAATGAGCAAAGAGCAAAAAGAAAGAACAAAGAGAAAAGTGAACAGTAAGAAGTGTTGTCATGTACAATAAATAGCAACATATTTATAAGAACTTTCTTAATATTACAGTTTTATTTTAACTTATTTAAAAGAGCAGCAGAGTTATTAGACATTAGTCAAGAAATAATACACTTAATGTGTGTGTGCATGATGATTTAAAACTATAATCAAATCACATGAATGCATACATATCTCTTTATATTCAAATATAATACAATATAATATAATATAATATACAATAATATAATATAATATAAAATAAATAAGATACGTACAACGCCAAGGCTTTCTTTCTTGTTGAGTCTCAGTTCTCGCAGCATCTGATTACGTTGTTCCATCATTAGTGTGCGTTCATAAGTATAGGCTGATATATCACTGTCCATCTGAAATTTAAAATGTTGGGATGATATCAGGCATGTAGCTAGGCTGGTGCAACAAGTGCATCACACAAGGGCCTCTGAAGTCACAGGCTTCAAGTGCTAATCCTGCCGACTTCCAAAGAAAGTAGGATTTCTATTCAAGAATATTTTGAAGATATCCAATGATAAAGATTTTTGTAACAAATGACTTTTCAACTGAATATTTAATGTTGTTTCTTATTTTGCAATTTCTGCAATACTGCATGTGAAAGAAAGCAATTGATTGATGCCAATCTACATTACATAGTTTATGTTAGAAAATTGTACTCATTTATTTTAATTATAGGAGCGCAGGCATGGGAATATTGATGACATAAAGCTGGGAAGTATTTTGTCTTCATCAATGCATGATAGACATCAGTATTAACAAAAAAAGCAATTAGAAATGTGTAGAAATCTTCCTCTATGAAACCCAATTCAGAGAATTTGATTATCTGAAAACCCACCTCCTTGATCTCATAACCGATGTATGGTTTTTGAGTGAAAATTTTAGTTAGTATGCAGGGTTCCCAGACAGTCACCCATCCTGGAACCTATGGTGACTCAAGTTGCTTAATGTCCATGACTACACAGAGCTTGGTCAAGAAGTTCAGCAGTTGGCACAGGTGAGTATTGGCAAGTACAAAGTATGCTATTTCTACAATTCAATTCTTGAACAAATGCAGTGAAGTGAACAAACTAACTTTCTTCTTTTTCATAGACTTTGAGAAAACATATAACAGGGTAAATAGAAATAAAAGGGGGGAAATACTATAAGAAGAAGAGGTGCCATCAAAATTATAAAAAAAATCAAAGTCTGTTTGCTAAACCTCAGTTTAGAATAAGGATGAATAATGGGAGTATTACAGATAACTGGATCTGCCAGAGGTCTGAAACACAGATGTGGTTCGTCACTAACCAGTACACACACTAGCCTACATGCCAATCACATGATATAACAATGAAAACAAATTGTGGAAAAGTCAAAAATCTCAACAATTGATACAAGGTCAGAAAATCTTGTTTATAGATGTGTTAGGATACTATCAATGGAAACAGATCTTCATACCACAGGAAGTGTACTTCATAAAATTGCTCACTAATAACTAACTACATAAAAATCTCCACAAGCAAGACTAACACAATGGAATTTTAAAATACAGAAATTAAAAGGTTTAAGGTTATGACACATGACGGAAAAGCACAAAAATCCTAGAAAGCAAAATACAAAAATACAATAGGACTGTTGGAATAGCTAAGAAGCTATTTGAGAAAGACACAACACATGTTTAAAATGAGAATTCACCATGACATACAAACCAACAATACTGTTTTGACTTTGCCTAAAGTATATAGACATCCAAAGATTGGAAGCTTCTTAGATAAAATTTCTAATATGTCACATAATAGGAATCATAAGACTAAACTTAAAAGAAAACAAGGACATTAAAAAGAAGCCCAAGACAAAGAATATAGGAGAGGACTTACAAAAGAACCATGAGAGAAGGGTTTTCTATGTCCACAGAATGGAAGGGAAAGATTACCAAAAGCTAGCTGAAGTACCTATAAGCCTATTGCGTGAAGAGATGTAAGAAGGCCAAAGAAGAAATGGATCGCTCTGGAATATCTCAAGGAATAACTATCAGATTCACTGATCATACAGGAACAGGCAACATGTTCAGTTTCTGATGATGATGAATATTAAAACATTTAAGATTCAGACATGTTTCAAGAACTAATTTTTCTCATCTTTAGAGAATTCACAATTCAATTAAAGACTTTTTTTTCTAATTCAGTTAAGGAAAAAACAACAACATAAAGAAAAGAAATTATAAAACATTAAACAAATTGAAAATTGAGTGAAATTGATGAAGTTGATGGCCGTAAACAGAAAAGCATCCATGATCAAAATTATGACAGGAAGAAAATTTGGTATGATAGAAGAGAATGTTCGCAAGTAGCATCAATTGAAAGTCAAAGAATTTTGGAATTTGGAAGACAAGTTCAACTGGCAAAACTTTCAAGGGGCCCTAGAATGTTCGAGGATGATCTATTTTGGGATGAGGTCCAGAAGGAAAGCAACAATAATACATGTTGATCTGAAGATTGTAGTAACAAAAAGGACAATGATGATGATGATGAGAGCAACAATGAGGATGATTGATGATGATTTATAAGAAACTAGAAAATATTGATAGTAAATGCAGAAAGATTTAACTTATTTCATTAAGAACCAATTTTCTGCCAGTAAATTGTTCATTTAATTGTGACTGTAAATAAATAGTAAGAATTAATTAAAAGTGTCAAAAAATTCTCAGGAGGCCTCTTCAAACTTAGAGAGCATGTTATAGTTAAGTAAATTTGATGTACTAAATTTTGAGTACATTTGATGTTTTAAGAGCTACGCTTTTCTTTCACTGATACAACATTATCTTCTTAAAAATGATTTAGGATAAAGAATACTTACCATTTCAACCACCTCAACTTCAGCGTCTATTCTTAAATGATACAGGAACACTTTAAGGTCCTTCTTCATCTGAATTGAATTATCCTCCATTTGTGCAACAGTAAAAATTCTCATTCGACAGTTTTTCCAAGTTCTATGTTGTTTCAACAGGAATGGAAGTAACATAAGTAGGCCTCCATCATGGACTATCCACCAAATGTCAATATTTCCAACCACCTATTCAAAAAACATAGTTTTAAATAATGTATAATGAGTTTCATTTAATCTGAAGAAGGTATACTGACCTTTTCACTGCTGTCAGGGAAGAAGTTAATGCCTTTGGGAACAAGCAATGCCATTCGAGCAGCGGCCACACTCCTAACTGTTTGCAGAAAAACTTGCCATGTTTTCTCATCTTCTGATTGCCGCCAACCATAAGGCCAACCCAGGATAACTGTGTTAGGCTTCATTCCTCCCAAACCAGTAGTCTGTACTCTGCAAAGTTATCCGAGTAAAGTAGCAAAATACCAACCCTATATGCACAGATGTACAACAGGCCATGTTCTGATGCAGTCAAGAACATTTCGTGTAATTGCTGAATATCTGTGTAAAAACTAACTTCAGTACATGCAATTTCCAACTATATGTTCATTGGCAAAAGTGATAATTTTTGATTTGCCTGCATGCCCTAGAACTTTGTAACATTTAATCTGAGACATCTGTACATGACTGTTTTATGATTACTATTATATCGTTGTTGATGACCAACATATTATTAACAACTGATACCACTAACATTATGACAGAGTGCAAGGTGAATAGGTAATTTGGCCAAAGCTATGAAAATAATGTGTGTGTTTAAGAGTTAGGAGAGAAGGCACTGATATCCCATCGAGAGTCAATTTTTGAAATTGAAGCTTCCAAATTAATAACAGTGTTCTCTCCCCTAACTTCGCAAGTACAGAGAAATTTTAATCAGAAAACATGCAACACTTGATCACACTCATTTTTCAATTTTAAAATATAGAAAATCTTTTGTTTATTATATAAATTTAATTAGTTGATCTTACAGGTGACTGAGTCCATCAGTGATGCTACGGCTCACCAAAACATCAACAAAACCTTTCACTTTCTCTTCATCCATTGTTCTTCGCAGACTTTGCTTTGCAGCCAGTGCTTCACCATGGCCACGTGTAAAATCTCCCCCAATTACAGATACACACACAGTTAAACCTTTGCCTGTGATAGATGAAACATATTAACATTTTTGATTTTGGTATTCTTCAGGTAAGATTTATTTGAGAAAGGAATTAACAGCCAATATTTAATAAAGATTTATTACTAAATTAATTTTTAAAAGGAGGGTGATTTTGATCCCAATGGTTGACATTACCAGCTTTCAGTTGTGAAGTGAAGGCAAACATTTTGCGATACTTTGGTACAAGATCTGATGTAAGTTTAGCTAGAATAAGAATCTGAGGTCGCCAATTCTTTGTATGTGGAGGCCCTTCTTCCAAACGTAAGAGACTATAGCGAGCTGCTGAGAGAGCCAAACCACGAATGCCATCACCCCATTCTTTCTCAGCTCTGCAGACAAATGTTATTTATTAACATCCACACATTACTAATAACCAATTTCATTATAACATTTTCACAGAATTTTATTCTAAAAAGTTTATTCTTAATAATAGAAATTTTGTAATGGAAATTATAAGTTCTGCTGGAGTTGCAGCAAAAAGAGTAAATTAGCATGTAGCTAATTTGTGAAAAATTGTAAAAGTAAGTCATTTTCTAATGAGAGACTGGGAAAAAGCAGATGCAAATGGAAAAAGAATTAAAGGTTTGTTCAGAGCTAGATGATTTTATGAGCCAAATAAAGCAATGTTAAAACATTTGAATTATTTACCCTCTATATTCAATGTATTTGTAGATGCAGCCAGCCATTGCCATGGCCAAAAGAGCATAATACCAACTTGTCATAAACATTACTGCGATGCACAGAGACAAACCAATAAAGGACAAGGACCTGTATTTCACACAAACAAAATTATTTTACCCACATATACATCATTTTTAGTTTCTGTATAAAAAGAAATCAATAAATAATATCAGCATTTAAATATTTGCTTCCTTATTAATTACATCCTTATAAAATACCTGAAATTATTTTACTATTAAATAAAAACTACAGTATTTACCACCACTTAAAAGGCACAGGCACCACAATCATCAATAAGATAGAATTTATGAGTTTGACTTGGATCTATAAAGTATAAAAATTCTGCTGAAGATATAAAAATTCCTATCTGAATTTCTGATGACTACATGAAAACAGAAATGGATTGAATATAAGTGTTTTTCTGAAAACTGATGTTTTTTGGGTAACAATGTATTATTGTCTTAATGATATTATGTACTTATTAGATGCATATTAAAAACTTATAAAATACATAATTATTTTCAGTCAATTTTGAAGTATAAAATGTATAGCTTGCAAGTTGTCGAGTATGGCACATATTTTTCCACTACAGATATTTCATTTTAAGAGTAGACAGCCATATTAGAGATACATTATTTTTAAACACTTCACAATATGCTATTGTCAGGGTTCGATTTCTATTATTAGGATTATTATTACCCTGGGAAATGGGTTTGGCAGGATTCCTTTTTCACTACACGTTGAAATGAATTCATCATCATCATGAACTGATCAGAAATTTGGCTTTACAGCCTGTTTTTATTGGTGTAAATGAATTAATTCAGCAAATATTAACTGACACAATTATTGTGTATCTTAATAAACAATAGTCTCATTTTTTAAAAATTTTAATGGTAACAATTCTATGTTTTATGTTTTCAACATATTACTCCAGTGTATCAATTACTTCATACTAAAAGTTTAATGCAAAATATTACATATTTAATAAATTTTCTAAGATTGCTAATGTTACATTGCTACTATTAAAATATTATGAAATGAATAAAACATTTAATTTTTAATAGTTTTAATTGTTTAAGTTTAAAACTTTATCTTGGATTTAAGAATTTTTTAAATTTGAATTAATTTTGAACGATAGAACGTTCTTGAAATGTAATTGATCGTTTCTTTTTCATTTTGTGGTAAATGTTGAGTGGTGCAAATCATTCAGCCTAATTATGCAGCCCAGCTTAAATTTGACCCTGACTATTATGGTATCAATGATTTCATACTAGTACTCACTATTTCTATTGTACTCACCAGTGATAGTATTTAAATCGAGGGCGCCAGTTTGGTGTGCGTAACAGAGTCTGCAGAGCACAGGCTAGGTTCACAAAGCCATAGCACATGAGGAAAAACATAGAGAGCAAGGGAGCCAAATAATCAACATTTCCCAGGAGAATCCCACATTGACAGATGAGCACAGTGAGGCACAAAGCACGAGTGGGCTCCCCACGGCTTGATGACACAGCAAAGGGAGACAAGAAGGGAATAATACCATCCTTTGCTATGGCTTGCAACAGGCGAGGTGCTCCTGTTAAGCTCTGGAGACCAGCTCCCAATGTAGATAAGAATGAACCAATTAAAATCACCCACTGGTTCGGCCATGCAATATTTGCTACCACAAGTTTTCCTCCAATGCTTTGACCAAATCTGTAAAAGTTAAATCATATAAATACAGAATACTTTTACCATAATATTACTTATATCAGTTTATAAAATATGAACCTAAAGTATTAAATTACTGAATAGTAAAATAACATGTATTGGCAACATACTTGTCTCTCAGTAATAAGTTGTCAACAGTACCAGCAAACAATATGACTGATGAGAGATAAACTGTTGAGGTAGTCAAAATTGCACAAATTGTGCCAATAGGAATTGATTTCTGAGCATCAGCCAAATCCCCAGAGCGATTGGAGCCAGCCATGATGCCTGAAAGGAATTCAAGCTAGTTGCCTTTTCATTTCATAATACATTTACCTGATCGCCTAGAGTGGAGCATTCATTAAAAATCACTTTTCATAAGGGCTTATATTAATATATTCTCTATTGGGGCAACTGGGAAACTGTTGTGACTTAGACCACCTTGTACCTCTGTTAGTAGTGGTTTTGAAAAAACTGGCAGAGGAAAAAAAAATATTTTGAGTGTGAGATGGCAGCCTTACTGTCACTTTTCATTTGTCTGTTGTTCATGTGCATATACGTATATTGTGAAAGAAGTTATTTAGCAAATTTCATTTCATGGGGTTAAAAGTAATATTTCCAACATTTGCAATTTTGTTTTTATAAAAAATGATAAAGAAAAAAATGAGTAAGAACTACAAGGTTTATACTCCTTATAACTTTTTGTGTAGTATTATTTAAAGGAAAAAAAATAATACTATTTTCTTCTGTTGTTTAAATTAACCAAGAAGGCAATTGTAATCTGGGTCACTTTATTACCTTGTAACCTGAACCACCCAAAAACTTCAAAAATTAAGAATAATGAAAAATATTTAAGTTTATAATTTAACAGAATTGTGTTTCTAAATCTTTATAGATAATGAATGATTGACACATTGGAAAAGCCTTTTCAAGAAAATGAAAACCCAAGACTCATTGAGAGTGATAAATATCCTGACATGTCATAATCAGAAACCTCCTGATAATAAGTAAAATAAACAAGTGTTTTCTTAAATTTTTTGTGGTTAAATTGAGCTGTCTATCATGCAAAACATTCTTCAATTAAGACAAAGAATCTCTCAAAGTTAACTGAGGATACTGGAGCAACACAAATGGTTAGAGGAATTAATTTCTGCAGCAATTATCACCGTCAAGAATTTTGTAAATATCTTTAAATTTTTGTAAATTAGAATTTTAGGATAAAATCTTTACAGTTTTTACCAATATCCCTTTTTCCTGTGGCATTTCTGTGACTTACGTTTTTTAAATCTTTATTGTTTTTAAATTATTTTGCAATGTTTTTGAAATTATGGCTCTTAGCCATTTTTTGTGTATTGAATGTACATATAGATGTGGAGTAATCCTCCTTTAAATTTCGTCTTTTCTCTCAAAATGCTGCGGTCACACATTGCCTTTAACCCCATTGCCCAGGGACTTTTCACCGTTAGCAACTGTGGTTTCCAGATGGTCACCCATCCAGGAATCCATAGTGATTCGAGTTGCTTAGCTTCTGTGACTTCACAAAGTTTAATTAATAACTAATTAAGCACTTTGTCTAACAACACGAGCATCGTCCATCTGGCATGTTCAGCATCATCCACAAATTTCAGTAATTTCACTAGAGGCTGTCCTCTTTCTTCAAGATGAGTAATGATAATCTTGGGGAAAACTAAAACAGGCCTTGATAAAAATTATACCATTTTTTATTTCTAAAGAATTTTTCGCTACACCAACTAATCAGTATTCATCCTCAAAAAAATTGAAGCAATAAACAACTACGGAAATCCATGTCCCTCAACTCAAGGCAGGAGCAGATGTGAATTCTTGATGGATATTTCAGAAATATCTTCTTAATATTTGCATTTAATTTGTCCACCTCCAGAAATAAACATCAGAATGTTCTTGCCATTCTGTGTAATGCATAAGCTATGCAAATCATGTGAAGCATAGAAGGGAAATAGAGTTTCAAACCTTTTGCAGCTCTTTTCATATATGATTTTGTATCAATGTACTACCTTGTTGTGTTGAATTTAATGGGCCCTTATTAACTACACTGTATTTTTGAATAACTGTACAAAAGTGGAGTTATTGAATTTTACTAAATATTCTAAACAAAAATGAATTCAATAGTTTTCTAAAGTCTACAGGACCAATGAAGATATTAGTTAGAAAACAATCTGTGGCATCAATTGTCTTGCCAAGAGAAATCTAGATCTTCAATTTTTTCTAGGGCTTTTAATTGGTCGACAGCCAGTTCCCATTTACAACCCGAAGAGACCCATATTTGATCATACACTAGACAGTAACACTCTTGTGGGTTCCTCTGATCTGCGGTCAGCAGAATGCGATGCCCTTCACAACAACACGTACACGAGAGACAAAGGACAAACAACCAAACCCAAGGTGGGATTCAAACCCAAGACCCTTTGGACTGCAGCGCTGACTCAGAACATGCTCTTATCGACCTCTGCCGTCCAGGTCGACATCTTCATATTTTTATTTTCTTAATTTTAGTCTCTGTATTTTTCCCAAATTTGTCATGTTCAGATTTTTGAACTTTTTTCCACTGTGACATTGGTTTCGAAAAGATAGAAAAGAAATTGTTTAGTTTTGACAGTGCACTGAAAAGCAAACCAATATTTGACTGATAACACTGTCAGAAAAACATTTATGCTTTTCCTTAATGCTAATGCTTTATTTCCATTGGCATCAGTGAGAATTTGGGCACTTTTTAATGAGAAGAAAGTCTGTTATTTTTGAGACCATTTACATTTAAAATAAACTAATTAATTGGCAAAAATCATCAAAGGAATGTAAAACAAGAATTTAGGCAAAAATAAACATTTATTTCTAAATAGGTAAAAAAGAAAATTGCTATTGCAACCACAAAGACAAAATTTTTTGATATTAATTTTAAAAATCTAACATGTATGAATAAAAGAATGCATTTTGTCCAAGTTCCAGTCTCTAATTAAAATAATGGTTTTATTGCATACTGGTAATTATGAGAAAATAAGCACTGCTGTAGCACAATTAGAATGGTAAAAACTTTAAAGTTGTCTATAAAAATGAACTCAAAGTTGTGCATTTTCTGGAACGCTCAAACTATATTTTCTCAAAAATGGCTCTGAATTTTGCAACGAAGATACGTTTATGGCACCAGGTTCCTTTCTTCTATAATATGTAGATATATAATATAATATATAGTTCTATAATATATAGACAATATATAAAATATATTCTTAAACGCACATTTCAAATCTACAAAAAATTGAGAAAATATGAAAAAAATGTCTTTTAGAGGCTGATAGCTGCTGGGAAGAAAGTGGGACAAAATCAGAAAGTCAACACAGACTAACGAGATAAGGAACCTACTCAGGGTATGAATATTTGTGCCATTTTGAAGCACTACTAGTTTTAGTTTTATAGCTTATAAAATTAATATAATTAATCCATTTGATATTCATAACTGTACTGAGATTGCTAATACAATTGAAAGTCCATCATTATACATAATTAAACTGAAAGACATGTGTTAATATATGTATAAAATTCTCAACAAAATTTTATACATGAATAATGTATAAAATACTGTAATGAATTTTATACATAAATAAAATGTATAAAACTCTTAATAGAAAACCTTGGGTAAAACTGAAAAGCTAGACCAGACTAAAAATTTTAGGAAACTAGCTAATACAAGAAATACTTTGCAGTTATGTAGCAGCACTAGTTCTTTCTCATTAACTTCTACTACGTAGTAAGAAAATGGTATTTAATGCTGCTTTGTTGATTTTTTGGCAAAAAAACTACAAAACACCTTTTATAGGTCTCGGGAAGGAAAATATGAATTTATCTTGCTTCTGTGCATGGTAAACTATTTTCTTGTAGACATGATATAGTGAAAATTTGTTTTGTAATGCCTTCAAATCAAGATTGTATTTTTTCTCAAAACGTTTGTTGGTTTAAGAATAACACTAGCACTAAAACTCTAAAAGGGATTTTCTCCAACTTATGAAGTGAGTATTTCTCAATTGTTCTGGCTAATGTAATGTATTTTGAAATTTGAAGCAGATCCTTTAATTTTTGGGGGTATTTTACGTGCGCCCTAACAACATTTTAGACATTTTCACAAAATTTCTCCAATTTTGTTTTTAAATTGCTCTGTACACCATGAGATCCCTTAAAATGCTGCTTGATTCAGCAGGGGATAAACATCTTGTCAATTCTTCTTTTTTGTGGGATGCTAACTTTGAAAAAAATACAACAAACAAGCAAACAACTAATTCCACTTTTATAGTTTTTTGCTTACTTCTCAAACCTTTTGGCTGTTGAATGTTAGGTACTTCATATTTGTAAAGTTTTTTTTCCCTTTTAAAATAACATTTTACTAAGTTAGGATTGATCACACTGGCACACTGGTCTATTTTACTTATCTTAATAATATATAATTTAATTTAATTTTTCATATTGACGTGGTAATGATTTATTACTTACATATTAACTTTCAGTTTGACAGTATAAAATATTAAATGTATGAAAATACTTGTTTTAGTGTAAATTCAAAAAATTATGTTACAGAATATTTTAAAATAATAATTTGCAAATAGCTAATACAAATATTACATATGAAAACTTCTTACCTGTTACAGATGGGAAAAAAATTCCAATCAAGATTGTAAATGAAGTAGTGCAATCTGCGAAGACCTGATTGTATGATGGTTTATCCAGCCTTTCAATTTCATCTGGTTCCTTTGACTGAGCAATATACTGCCCCAGTTCCAGAAAACTGTTTTGCACATTATCTAAATAAAATTGAAAATCAGTGTTTAAAGTCACATCTTAATATCAAGGACAAATACTCAATAATACTACTAATAATAATACATAAATCATGGACAAATCTCAAATACAATAAAAATAAATATTATTTGAAAAAAGCTTTAATACAGTATCATCCCTCATAGTGAGTTGTATATAAAAGCTCCTGTAACTGTTTTCAGTTATGACGGTTATAAAAACAGATATTTTAACATTTTGTTGCACCTTTTGTTACATTATATACATTATATGTATATACATACATACGATACATTTTAAGTTTAAAAACTTTAATGTTAAAATACACATTAGTTTAAAAAAACTCTAATTCTTTGTAAGGTACAAAGAGCTCTAACTCCCTTTGGCTGAATCCATGCCTAGAAGGACATACTCAAAAAAGAAGTTCATTATAAATAGTTATTTATGTTCATGTACAATTCTCTAAACAATCTTACCAAGTAGAACTCCACTTGCTAGACCCTTTATTCCTTGTACAATCGAAACATTGTTATTCACAAAGTAGGGGTCACAGACTGGAGAAGGGTCATTTGGATCAGTCGAGTTGCTACAGAAGATGTTAAACAAAGGAGAGTATGGATCTTTCTTGCAGTCATCTATGTGTATATCTTTCAGCAGCCTCTTTCCAAGTACACACATGCTGAAAATCAAGATACAAAGTTACTGATCAAAACTTTTCCTTGCTGAAACTTCTTTGCAAATGCTACAATATAAATTAAACTGATAATATACAATATCATGCTAGCAATTGAATGATATTCTTCATTTTTGAAATTACATGGATTGCACAAAATAAGCAAATATTAATTGGTTGTTGCCCAGAACATTCTGTGATTTTTGAACAAATATCTTTGATATCTTCTGAAGTGTGATGCAGGCGATGGTATACATTGCATTCATGTACACTTTTATTTATAGTTATTTAATCACATTTTAAGCAGAAAAATTCTGATTAAAGATAAATTTCTTTTATATTAAAATTGAAAATTTAATTAAAGGACTTATCAATATATTTAACCAATACAATGTTATTTGCACACAATGGAAATAAGTACACCTTTGAATTATGGTCATCACCAAAGTAAAATGAGATTTGCACTGTTGAGAAGAAGCTTTTATTTGCAATCTTAGCAATATTTGCAACATTTAACAGTTTGGTAAAGTTATGTTTAATCACTCTGTTTTGAGTTTCCAATGACAAGAATGAATTGATTCAAGTTTCAACAAGTACCAGTCTATCAGCATGATATTCTGAAAAGTTCTCCGCAGTATATTTAGCACTACATTCGCTTGTTTTTCTTTCTTTCAATATATATTATTTTGTGAATATGAACATTTAATAGTTCTGTTCTACAATTCACAAAAATAGTAGGAAAAACGGGAAAAGTGTTTGGAAACTTTGCTAGTGGTTCTGCTGTAAGAGAAATTATGCACATTCATCACAAGCATCAAATGAAGGAATACGAGCTTGAATGACTGGGTTGACAATAATTGAACTGTCCAATGCAGAAAGGGTACATGTTCACATTTTGGCTATTTTAACATTATGATTGGTATGCCTTTCTTTTGGCTTTATCTTTCACTGTCCAAAAAGTTTTTCTGTAATATATTACATTCAGATACTACAAATGCATCTGCAAAAAAGTTTACAAAACAAAATAATAATGTCTTGTGGCAAATCGTTTTTCCTGTCTCCTGTAAAGTTGTCAAAATGTATGATGTACCCTTTCTGCATTGGGCGGTTCAATTGGTTTATAATAATTGTTTGTGTTGTTTTATAAATGTCTATTATAATCTTGTGAGTTATTTTCATACCTATTTGTGGTTGCTAAATTGGAATTTTAAAATACACATGACACACACTAAAAATCATTTTCTTAGTATAATTTCCATGACTTACATCACATCATTCCAGGAAGCACTAATATTAACAAGTTTCATCAGGACACGATACTTAAAAGTACAATAATTTTTTTCATCTTATATGTTAATTTATGGGTTTTATTTGAGTTTATTAACATATGTTTCTCACAAAGATGTCATACTAAATACCACTCGCGTATTGCGAATGTTTGGTAAATCCACTCATTGTTTCGCAAATTGTAGATACATCAAAACTTCCAATGATCTTGTAGTTATGAAAATAAATTGCTAATTTCTCTTATAACAAATATCAAGAAACGTTTTATTAGGAATGCTCTTCATAAGCATATTCTATGTAAATCTTTATTTTTTGCTGACTGTGAAGTATAAACGGGGTAGAATATACATTTCGAATAACCTGCATATTTTGGAGCCAGAGACAGATCCAACGCTATGGTGCTCGACTCTTTCGGGGACGACGAGAGCACCAGTGAGTACACTGCGATGTGCTTAATGTGCTCAACATGGTGCTCAACTCATCGATTCGCGACTTGAGGTGCGGCGCAAAACAAATTAGCAACTTGTTTTATTTTCAGACTGTTCGCATTGTGGACAAGAAATTCGACTTACATGAATGTAGAATATAATGAAAACAACAACAACAATATAGTTCAGTTTAGGCACATTTGTTTACATTTTCCATTCCATGATCTCTTTAGACACACTTAGACACACAGAGACTTTAACCTTGCCGGCACTTGTATCCTGCTTGTATAGTGACACTGTTTGATCAAGGAGCGTTTATTAGCTTTACTCAGCCGCAGTAATATCCCTCAAAGGAACACCAAAGTAATTAGGCTCACACTTGAAAATATAAATGCAAACAAACCAAAGTTAATTATTTAAAAAAGTTAATATGATGTTCATTAATTAAGGCTTGAAAAAATGTTCTTACTTAACATTCATACCTTGTTAGTTTGACGAAGGAAACATGAATGGAGCTTAAAAATACTGTTTCTTTAGTAAACATCGCTAGAGGTGCTACAACAGTACATGCGTTCTCGCATTATTTGTAATGGATCCGCACTATTTTACTCCTACACGAACATGCAAGTGATTTCAACCAGCAAAAATTTTTCTCCGCGCCGAGATTCGAACTTAGGTCCATCGAGTTAACTCGCCGTGCGTTTTACCGCTACCAGTCAGTTAGTCTGGCGTTTTGGGTAGTCGCTTAAAAATACTCTGGTAATTGTGAAAATTGCAACACCCAGAAGAAATCGATGGAATCACTTAAAAATCTGAGAATGTGTAGAACAGTGTATCCTTAAGAAGTGATTAAATCTGCATTGAGGTGGCGTACACGTTGGCGTAACAGCGCCCTCCTTTGTGTGACAGATCAGGTCAATGTTACGTCACCCTCAGTCGGTGCAGAAGCTTCAAATGTCATGGAAATGTTCTAGCAAGTGCCGGATGCCTCGTCGACACCAAAGAGCGCAATATCTGCATCTGAAAGAGTTCGAACGGGGCAGAATGATCGGTCTACAAAAAGCGGAGTTGCCTCACCGTTACATAGCGGATCGAACGGTGCAATGTCAGGGGTGCGTCTGTGGAACCAGTTGATAGAGGAGGGTCAGACACAGCGATGAGCGGGTACAGGACCACACAATATGACTACAGCGCGAATTTACCGCCATCCTGTCTCCATGGCCGTAACCAACAGGACGGCGTCGTCCTCAGTGTTGACTCGACTTTGGAACACTGCAACATGTGTGATCATGTCTGCGTCGACGGTTCGACGCTATCTCCTGAGGGCTGGACTGGTGGCACGCATATCACTGCGTCGGTTTCCGTCGACCAAAACCCACCAACGCCTCAAACAGCAATGGGTACATGAACGTGCTCACTGGTGTGCTGGGTGGCAAAATGTAGTGTTTTCGGACGAGTCCTGCTTTAGTTTGTGGTACAGCGATGGCCGCGTACGTGTTCGACTCTTCCCTGGTGATCGCAATCTGCCTTCATTTTTCCTCGCAATAGCGGACAAACTCCAAGCGAGATGATTTGGGGCGCCATTGGCTACAATGTGCAATTTCCCCTCGTATGTATTGAGGGTGATCTGAACAGAAACCGCTACATCAGGGAGGTTTTAGAGCTCGAGGTAATACCCCTCCTGTAAGCAGCTCCACATGTCATATTTCAACAGGACAAAGCCCGACCGCATGTGGCGAGGAATGTAAAAGCTTTCTGCAAAGAACGTCGGGTACTACTACTGCTTCCCTGGCCTGCGCGTTCACCCGACACCTCTCTCATTGAACATGTCTGGAATATGATCGGTTGGCAACTTGTTCGTTCTGGTCCTTTTGCTGCAACTGCCGATGATTTGTGGTCTCGCATAGAAACCGCATGGAAATATGTTCCCCAGCAGAATACCCAGGCTCTCTCTGAACCCCATGCCATGACGTCTAGAGGCTCCGATCGCGTGACGGCTTCACACAGTACTAAATACTCAAGGTCAAAATGCAGTTACTGTTCTATAATTCTAATCATTTGTATATTGTGATATTCCTAATCCGTGGAATAATTTTCATTGTGATATAATGTCTCCTTGGTGTTGCGATTTTCACAAACATCAGTGTATTTTCACCAACATCTACAAATTTGAAGATAGAAATATTTGTCTTCAACAAAATTTGTTCTAAAAAGCGAGTTCTTAAAAAAGCTCATGTACAAATAAATAAGAGTACTTTTCGCTCAATTTCCGCTTCACGTTAATGCAAATTATTTAAAAAAATATTTTTGCAAAAACCTCTCGAAATATTTTCTTCAGATTTTTCCATGGATAGAACACGGAACGCTTAAAAGAAGGACGCAAACCACAATTTTGTTGAACTCTAAATATTCGAAAATCGAAAATCTAGAAAGAATGCGAGAAAGTATGTGCTCTTGAAGCACTACTAGTTCTGTAATACGATGACACCACTTACACTCCAATCTGTACTTAATTTATTAACGGCCTATTTAATATTTTAAATAATTCGCTTCAGTTTGTTTGTTATACTTGTATTTTATGTGCACGAACGCGTAGCTGCTGTTCCCTTAAGATCTATTACCGATGCTTACTCTCCCTAACGGGAGAGTGCGGGTCATATGTTTCATTAATTTCCGCCACGTATTAACGGTCGCTGAAGAATCAACAAAAATATTTCTTTTACCTCTTTCTATATGATTTTGCTGCTAAAATTTTATGAAGTTGTTTGTGATGTTTTGATCTCTCCGTAGAAACATTTCGGAACAAGCTCTGGAGAGCGCACGAGTTCGATTATGTCCTTCTGTAAGATGTACCGAATATTAATTTCTGTTTGTACACGCTGCGCATTGAATGAGAGGATAGATTCGAGAAGTTGAATGAAACATAATTAATAAATTATTTTATTTATAATTAATTATTATTAAATATTATATTATAATAATTATTAATAAAATATTATATTATAATAATTATTAATAAAACTTAATTTACTTTTTTAATAGGCCATGCGCGAAACGCGGTCTTTTGTGCCTGTTTTCCGTGTGCGAAACAGCTAATTTTTTCACAGTGTGCGAAACAGCTGTAACGATTCGCAATTGTCTTTAGTTTTGACGACGTCTTTTATTTATTATTTACAAACAATAGTGTTACGACACAGACTGGAATCCATTTACTTTTGTACAAGTAAGGCATTTATAGTTATTTGATATTTAATTTATATTCCTTTACTTAAAACACAGCGTTTCGCTCACGGCGAGTTAAAAACAGTGCACGCAACACGGGCGCGAGGTCATTCACGCACTTTTCTCCACTCGTGCGTGAATTTCCTGTTTCGCGCCCTTGTTAAGTAAACTAATATATTTCAGGAGTATTGTCAGTCTCAATTTAGCGTGGATGTGTGTAAGAAGAAGGAGACAAAGGCTAAAGATGACTTACTAGAGCGCGTCGTTGCCGTTGAAGTTGACGAAGATGCCGACGTACACAGCCAAGATGGAGAGCAGCACGCACGCCAGCGCCACGGTCGCGAACTTGTTGACGAACTTGACACCGATGAAGACGATGGTTCCCATTACAGCCAAAAGGCACGTGCCGTACACCCGAAAGTTGTTGTACATGATGTTGGCGTCCTTCGTGAAGTCCCCGAAAATGGAGGCTTCGGGACACATGTACGTCTGCAGAGAGAGAGAGAGAGAGAGATTAGGCCGTAAGAGGACATGACATGGTAGAATGCAGGGTGGATCCAGCCGATATAGATATGATACTATACAATATTGTTGTTTAAGTAATTACATAATTCGAACATAAATAAATATTGAAATCAATTTTGCCAAATAAATAAAGGTAAACGAAAACTCTACGCCTTTTCGAAAGGGGAGCATGGCCTCCATCCCTCCCTGGATCCGCCAGCGGTAAAATACATCACTCACATACATCGTATCGCCAACGAGAAAATTTCCCATAACTCAAAAGCCACTCACAACACTATTTCGTTTTCTTTGAAGCTGTTTTTCTGTATGTAAAATATGATTAACGAATCTCTGAAAAATTAGGAGGTTGTCTTAAGCTGCTTTGCATGCAATGAACATGAGTCTTTGGGCTTTCGCCGTAAACATAGAAAACCTCTAATAATTAATCATCTTTACGTTCTGGAGAGAAAGCTACTAGGATTTTCGCCCCGATAGTCAGGGCTTTCACTCATGCAAGGGTCCTCAAAAATAAAGGGGTGACGAAACATCAATGAAATTCGCTGTGATGGAAACCTTTCAAGTAGGCTTCTGCCGTGGAAATTTGCAACAAAATATTTAGCGAGCACAAAAGAGACGATTCGTCAACACAACATTCCTTTTCATTCTATTGTTAAGCGGAAATACTTTCTTTATTCAAAAAGTGTGCGACTTTCCAAAAACTTCAAGCACATTTAAAAGTCTTTTAATTAAGATATTGTTTTGTGTACAAATAAAGAATGTACCATTTCTTTCATTAAACTTAAAGCTTTTGAATACAAAAATAGATGCAAAAAGTATTATTATATGTGGGGCACGAATTGAAGAAAGGAAAAAGAAACGAAAGAGAAAAAAGAAAGGGAAAATTAAAGAAAGGAAAAAGAAAAGAAGGAAAGAAAGGAGAGGGGGAAAAGGAAAAAAGGAAAAGAAAGAAAGGAAAAGAAAGAAAGGGAAAAGAAAGAAAGGGAAAAGAAAAGAAAAGGAAAGAAAGAAAGGAAAAAGAAAGAAAGACAGAGAAAGAAAGAAAAGAAAGAAAAGAAAGAAAGAAAAACTTACTTACACGCACACCGTACATGCACTTACACTACCCACATATGTCGGGAGACCAATTGGGGGAGCTTAGAGATTGTCCAGGCTGGGATGCCGCTTGTGGGAGATACCTGTTTTCCCGCAACCCGGGGAACCCGATTAAAACAAATTTATAAAAATTACCAGTTCAGTGAAATTACCACTTTACAGGTGAGTACTGAGTTTTAATTAAAACAATAGTGGCTCGAAATTACAAGTAATTGTAAATTAGTGGACTATCATACCCCTATTTCTGAACGAGGATATCCCTACCGGGTACTTCTATGATGACTTTTTTGTTAATTTTGTGAAATTTAATCTAACTAGAAAGTAAGCAAAACATAGAGAGAACTGGCACAAAAATTTCTCTAACTTATGGGGGACGGAACAGATATTTTTGGAGACGAGATTTAATTCTTATAGCTGGCGCAACGCTGGTTTTCCCGAGGTTAAAGTGGCTGGTGCAAGGGGCAGTTTGGAGGTTAGAACATAATTTGGAAGACAATAAGGAAATGTAATTGGTGATTGGATTTATGTCTAGTTCTCTATGACTTCAGCAGTTGACTTGCCCGGAAACACTACTCAATCAATCAATCAATCAATCAATCAACCTGGAAGAACGTGGGAGCAAACGTAAAGGAGGAGTCGCTCACCAGCACGATCTCGACGGCGCCCACGATGTACATGGCGGCGGCGAGCGTGGTGCCGGTGTAGAACAGCATGCCGACGGCGCCTCCGAACTCGGGCCCCAGCGAGCGCGAGATCATGAAGTAGGAGCCGCCGGCCGGCACCACGCCGTTGGTGGCGATGGCGCTCATGGAGATGGCCGTCAGCATCGTCTGCGGCCAAGGCGCTCGTCAGCTGGCGCGGCCCGCCACGCGCCGCGGCGCAGCGGGTTGCCTACCCTGCTCGCCGCTAAGGGGGCGGCGCATGCGGCGCCGACAAGGCCGACTACGGAATCTTGTTTCGAACCTTGTAGGTGGCTTTGGTATCCACAAGTCGATGCAAGTGAGGAGCTAGATTATACTACATAGAGTGACTGTCCCTATAATTCCGCGCTCTTGGTGGAGGCTTGCCGAAATAGAGGCCGCCATGTTTTTTGAAGTCAAAATATACGAATGGCGGCGTAACCTAGGTGTAACCGTCCGTAACCAGTGTCTAACGTAATGCTAGAATACTCTGTTTCCTAGAGGGTGCTGCTTTGTCGGCAAAACATGACTTCAAATTGCTTCAAAGATGGAGGCGTTTCAGCCACTCTAGTATATGCTAGCTCATTGGATGCAAGACAAGCTATTAATACGAGCATGTTTCCTTGAGCCCTTTTTTTCGCTATTTCCGATAGGAGGGGTTTGGATATTTCGACGGCGAAACTTTTGTGTCAAATCTGTGGCATGGTTTGTGGTGCCCAATAGTTTCTCATATACGTGAGCTCAGATTTCTGGTTATTAGATTTTGTCAACGACGTTCATTTCTGTGATTCATTCTTAAATCAACTAATGTTGCAGTGGGGTAGGGATTACAGGGCTCATGAAAACTTGCACATATAGTACATTTCACACACCTATTGTAAAATTGATCTATTGTAAAAGCATGACGGCCATTGAAACCCAAGCTTTCAGAGGTTGTAGTGAATATCGAGGTTCAAATTATAGGTTTTAGAAGAATGAAGGTTTATAGGAATGAAGAATATAGGTTTTAGGGTAATACATATAGAGAACATCGTAATTAACACTTATCGTGACTGATAGTGTGATACTTTATACTACATGCGAGTAATTTCATGCATCCTACTGACCTAGTTAATGAGACTAGAATTATAACAATCCCCTTTTAGAACAAAGAAGAGAAATATTAATTTTCTGAAATTTATATAAATTAATGAATTAAGTAAAATGAGAAATTAATTTCGCTCTAGTCGTTTATCTACGTGCCTTACTCAATTAATGAATAAATTAAGCAGATTTGGAGAAAATATTATCCAAGAATTTTTGAAAACAAGACAATCTGATTCAAAACGCGAATTATTCTAGTAAATGAAAAAAATCTAAACAAAATTAATTTATATCAAATTATAGAAGAATTAATTTTAAAGACTCACTTGGAGTTATTTAAACAATACATGAAATTACTGATGAATAAAAATTAAAAATACTTAATGAATAAAAACGAAGCCGAAGAGTGGGCAGTAAATTTACAAATTAAGTTTATTTTAGAGGCGTGAAATTTGTTTTAAAGTACAATATACAAATATCTCATACTAAATGTTACAAAATTATATCTCTCGCAGTTAGCAAGATTTCGTGTTCCTTCCAAACAGCAGTGCAATGTCAGCAATGCATATCATGTGGATGGAGTATCCGTACGGAAAGCGATGTTCAAAATGACATATGTGTAACTTCAATGCGAGTAAGATTCAGACTTTTAGGTAAATAAATATCGCCCCTTAAACCTGAGCGTTGAATGTTTTATTGGAAGTTGAAGTAACCCCTCATAGTTTCCCTATGGCAAATTGCCTATCATTTAAATATGAAATTTTTCATTAAGTTGTATAAAAAATATTTTCGCCGAAACAAATATTTCGCTACATTTTAAATAATATTTTAAATATATATTCTGAGTATTTTCAATTTAATACTTTGGAGGTTTTTTGGATACATGGCGAAAGACGTGCCAGTTTGGAATGCAGTGATTGGGCACACATCACATGTTAAGTAAGAATTCCCCGATTTAGTGGAGTGAGCCTAGTTTACGATTTGTCAAAACGGCAAAAGACCATTTCTAACACAAACGTCGATTCAAACAATGACACTCCGAACGATAACACGAGTGGCTCCTCACCCCCCTCAGATTTCAGACGAAATGCACACTGATAAAGGGAATGACGTCACATTTTATTTCAAGACCTCTCCATCTTGATTACTGGTTTTCATTGGTGCTGTAAATAAATATTTTCGTCGTTTTACACCATTTAAACAGTTTCACTGTTTAAGCATATAAAAATTAATATTTTCCGATTTCTTCCCCCTTATAAAAAAGTACTAATTTTGTAAGTCCTTGATTTAGTTTATAATTTAGTACTTTTGTAAGTGGCAGGACTTAGAAAAGCCCTAACTATGAGATTTCACCCACACGGGCATTGGAAAAAAGGGATCATCTTCGACGCCCCCAATAAATCCTAGAAGTTTGTAACATTTATTCAGAGACACCTGTACAAATGCCGTCGAAATGCCCGTGAGGGCTCACTCACCACACAACAGCAGCACAGCACGATGAGGAAGCCCATGAGGGCGCCGGCGGTGCCCACCACCCACGTCAGCCGGATGAAGAGGATGACGCCGAAGATGTTCTGGATGCAGGGCAGGTAGACGCCGATGAGCGTGCCCATACGTGCTGACGCCTGCGGCTTCGCGTCGGGGTCGGTGGCCGCGGGGATGGTGTTGCTGTAGTTGGCCAGCGAGTTGAGCAGCGTCGAGATGCGGGGTCGGTCCTCCATCTCCTCCTGCGAAACGCACACAAGAATCCACGCTCAAAGAAACGCCGCTGGCCTTCACTGCACTACGCGAGGGGCAACAATGTTTTTTTTACTTTCTCGCCTTACGAAGTACTTCGTAAGAAGAGAAAGTTATGTAATCGTGCGCCGGAAAACCGCAGCAACAGTATTATTTTCTTAATTAGTTGCGTCTTTTCCGAAACACATCCTTTAGTCCTTTTTGAACATCGAGCGTATAATTCTTGGTGTAATCCATCGTTAAGTTTTTGAGAAAATTATGTTTAAAAATTGCCGATATTTATGTCAAAATTGGGCGAAAACTACACATATTTTCGAAAAATTGTACATGACCTAATTTCAAGACCTGCCTTTGAAGAATATATTTTATTAAGAAAAAATACCTTTAACATTGTGGTCGAAAAATCGTCTATTGCAATTTTTTAAAACCTAGAAGAACAGCCCAAATGCTACCAGAGCCACTTTTGAAACGTTCTGAACTCAATCAGAGGGCAAAGTTTAATCAAAAAATTGTATTCCTATTAGAGAAAATGTTGGGTTTCATGTAAAGTACTACTCAAAATTAAAATATCCGTTTCAAGCTCGCAGGGCTTTGAATTTGTTTTAATCGACCAGAGAATATCAGTTTTTGTGAAAAATGCAAGATCTGTTTCGGCGATTGAATTGAATTGAATTTCCCTTATTTTACGTGGCGAGACTCGGGCCATCAGGCCCGCTCTTCCGTCTGACCACGCAAATTTCGCTACACTCCTTTCAGCAACTCCTGCCAGGCGATAGGATTGACCACAGACGGAAAGACGGAGGGACGGCGGGAAGGACGAATGGACGCACGGACGGACGGACAGACGGACGGACGCGACGGTCAGATAGGCAGATAAACGTGCTATCAACCGATTTTCTGATATCAAAGACTTACATAATGTGAATTATGAGTACACAAGTGTTAGAGGAAGTAATTTACGACATATAGGAATAAGATTTATCCACTTTTTCGGCATCACGGCGCGAGAATAAGAGTTTTTCTGTCGCCGATTTCCGGCGCACGATTTAAACACTTACTCTTCACTACGTACGTAATAAGGTGAGAAAGTACAAAGTAGTTACTGCATTGTTATCGGTCTGCGTTTCTATGAATTTTACTCACTCAGCCCTTCCTTTTTCCCGCTCGCTCCTGCAGGCCTTGTGCCCCCTCGCCCCCCTCCCCGATTGTCTCGCCGGGGGTCGGAGCAAGGAGAGTGGCGCCTTCGTGGCCATGAGAAAACTTCGCCGAGTGCCGATGCTCGTGAAAGTCTAATGAGTGGTGATATCTGGTTGCCAATCCCCATTTCTTGAAGGCTCGCTTAGCGTAAATGTTTGCAGCAAGGGCGAATAACTGCTGCTCGTATTGGCAAAAATCTTGGAGGAGAACTGCTTAAAATTGTAAGCGCCCCAATTCCCCGAAGTACATCAAGCTTTCACGATTAACGAAGTTAATCGTGAAATTTTCAACACCACACTAACAAGGCACTCACAATTGCTACACAGTAGAAAACAGAATAATTAAGAGAAATTGGACGAAATAAGCAACATTAATAAATTACACGTAGTTTTTTACTTTCGGTGTAGAAAACAAAAAAACAACAATAAAGTTTATTGTTTTCATTGGAGGGATTTTCAAATAAGATCGTGAAAAGGCATAGTGCATAGTGATTGTCTAGGACCGCCGGTATTCGCGAATACGCGTTATGGCGCGGTTAATACTTTCTAATATTTTCTGATACGTACTTACGGTTTCTACAAATGCACATTCTTTCTCAAATATTGTAACTTTGTGGAGAAGGAATTTCGGGAAAACAATGACGAGAAATTTCTTTCCCTTTTAGAGGACACGGCGTCAAGGGAAATAATGCAAAAAGAATGCCTTCACATGTACTGTAACAAATCTGATGACCTATTTTTGTTCATTAATGAAGAAGCTAATGCATTGTTCAAAACTAGGTTGACTAATGATGTTGTTAGGAAACGTTATGAGAAACGTTAGGCATCACTTTACAAAACAATTATCTTCCAGGATCAGTTACGGGTTGTCCACAACTTCCGCTTACTATTTAGGGATCCCTGATGTGTGTATTTATTTGACCTGCGTAACTTATTTATAGGATAATTTTGTGAATTATAAATAATATGAAGATCAATGACACTCTAACGATTTTGGACCATCAGAGTCAAGCCTTGTTCTCCAGGATTCCTACCACAGCTATATCAAGGCAGCTGTATCAGGGCGGTCACTAGTTTCATAAAGAAATTAAAGTAATATTTACAGTATCTATTTTCCCATTATCGATATGCGATAAAATTAATTACTGTATATAAATATTTGTGTTGTTGTTTTACATTAGAAAATTACTTACTTGAGCTGTCTGTAAGCTCACCGGATTTGCGAGAATTCTTGAAGTATAGTTTACCATTTCTGATTTAACATTAAGACCGACAAATGCGAGATCCATTACAATGTATCGAGGAGGCTAAACATGTTACACTTTTCACTTGTGATAGTGGCGTATTGTTAATTCGCATTTGCATCTCTTGACATGACTCTTGGTATGACATTCGGATATGAAGAATTTCAGAGAATATCTATTTACAACGAGAATTTCTGACTTTTGATTTCTGTTTATTGACAAAAAAAACAAATTAAATTTTAAAGTGCAGAGTGAATTTATTTATTTTTTATTTATTTAACGACAAAAATTGTTAAAAACTGCGACCGATGCACAATAGGGAGAAGTGTAGTAAGTGCGCGTTTTCTTAAATTATGAAATCCCTACCCCCAAAACCATATAAAAGTTTATTTCTGAATTGATAAGTGAGAGATTTCAGATGATAAAAATCACAACCACATGTACCTTATATTATTAAAAACAAATAAAGATTGCGCGGTGAAATGTTCTCGTTAATTTGTAAAGTTTGTAAAGTTGTTAAGTTCTGTAATGTTAAGTTAGTGTATTCTGCCACCAAGTTCTCAAACTTAATTGCAGAATTAGTAGTAAATCTAAATCTAAAATTTGCATCAACGCACATTCATCCTATCGCAGTGAGAAAATCCTGGGGGTAGCAGTAAACCGAACAGCCGACCACCATTGTTTTGCACAATGTCAAATGATGTCAATGGCGTGATGTCACAATTCAGTTCTCTTATAAATGTACGATGCTTTTATACAAAAAATAACGTATGCAACTCGGTTAAAATGTTGCTGTATGCATTCGCACAAATTTGAAAATTAGCTCCTAACGTCGTTCCGTTTTCAAAGCATGTACTCATACAATAAACCTTAACAGTCTAAACTAGTTGCATAATATACTATTTTGTATTTATTTTTAGATTTCGTTGCAGAATATAGATCACTGCACCTTTATGCGCATTTCCGAGGCTCGAAGCGCTGTTATAGCATCGGGAGGTCATTAGCGTCACTCGTGCACTGATATTCTAATGGTCAAAGGTTCGAACCCTATTGAACCCTATTGCTGAGCCTTGCGCCGTACAAAACTATCGTAATTTGCATCCCGATTCCGTTAATTCATAAAATTTCCTAGGTCTTCGCTTGTGTCTGAAAAAAGTAGATTGTATTCTACGGCAATACTTATAAATATTCTCAGAGATTCGAGTCACTGTAAGCATGTTTTTCTGGGCGGTGAAAAAAAAAGAGCAATCGTCTAGAAGCTGCTGTGCAGAAACGAATCGTTTCTGAGTGAAATATCATAAGAAAAATTTATTCACCTAATTGTGGAGAATTCTGTGATGCATTTTTTACCACCTGAAACGACCCACCTGTATATGAGTACAAGTTGAACCCGTACGAACGTTCCGCATTTGTAAATCACTGCGTTAAAAGTGAAAATAGCTTTATGTTGGAACTCAACTTCGACTGATTCGATCGATTGATTGATGATTCCGTGCGCGTCAACTGCTAAGGTTCCGTAAGTGTATTACATTCGCGTTATGATTTTCTTCCGCTGGACTTTCTTTCCGACTTTCTTGTTACATTCGTCAACTGCTAAGGTTCCGCAAGTGTATTACATTCGCGTTATGATTTTCTTCCGCTGGACTTTCTTTCCGACGCCGTCCTACCTGTCGGCTTGAGGGATTTTCCCCCAACCAGGTATCTCCTACCAACGGGGCACCGCCCCAGCTGGGACACGCTCTAAGCTCCCGACCGGTCTCCCGGCGTGTGTGGTGGTGTAGTGCATGTTAGTGCAAGTAAGATATTTACGAGAATATTGGTGTTCGAAATTGTTATCTTTAAATTATTTACGTGCAAGTTTTGGTATCATGCTGAGTGTTATAACTGTGGATAGTCGATGTATATTATAGAGCATAACGTAAGAGGGGTCGATGAAGCAAACAATTTTCTTAAAAACGGCAGTTGAAAGAACGAAGTTGGGAATCCCTGCGGAAAACCCCCGATACGCTGGCCTTCACAATATCTTTTAGATCGTCTGCAAGTCGTTGTTTCAGGTGAAACACACTCCAGTAACGTCCAATCTGTCCAGGACATTGCACAGAGGACAGTTCTAGAGCCTTTAAAATTCTTAATTATTTACATACGTAACATAGGATAATTGTTTAAATACAGCGCGCTAGGAAATTCCCTCCGCAGTAACACCTCGCTGGGGAGAGTGCTTGCAACAGAAATTACGTTGGTAGCACGAGCTGCGGCTTGTGATTGCGAACTCGCCACAATCATAGATGCTGGAAGGTTTGCTTCCTTAACTTGTGACCCAGTAATCTGATTGCTACCAACATAAATGAAATTTTTAATAGGAGGCTTTGAATCGGCTCAAGTGCGTAGAGAGTTTCCTGACGCACTGTACTATCGTCATAAAATGCACGGAGACGATCTACAGCTCTTTTAGTGGATACCCCGTTGGAGCTACACTCTTTAGTTCAGAAAATAAATCAAGACCTAAATACTCCCAATAAATGGACCGCAGCTCTGGGACTTCATTAAACCCAATAAAATCTCGAAGTTTGCTGATTGGCTCACGCAACGCCATCAACAAATTAGACAAATCACGCCTTCTGACAATCAATATAAATATCTCTCCTCTTTCGTGATGAAACGACGAAAAGAATCTGGAAATTTATTAAATTCATTAAATACTCTTCGCTGGAATAGACAAGTAGGAAAGATTTGCCAAAATGTCTTCACAGGCATTTATTCTCTAAAATGCGTAAGTGAACTGCTATACATAAGCACCCGCATGAACTTAATTGATTTATTTATCATGCCTTATTTCGATTACTGTGTTTTATTACTCACTGACTAACAAGCTAAGCGGCAATGGAAGCTGCAAACCGCACAAACTGCATGCTTGCGTTTCATGTCCGATTTTCGTAAATACGATCATGTTACTACGTGCTAAAACATTCTCACAATCAAAAAAGGAAGAATACTTTACCATAAAATTTTGTACAAGTGCTTCCAAACACACTAGCCTAAAAACCTCAAAATGCTAGAACGATCGCGTTCTTCATTATTGTTGCGCACACCACGACTCAACACTGTGTCTTACAGTAAATCTTACACTGTCACTGTAAATCGATACAGGAATTCACTACCTTAGCATGTTATGCAAATGACCAAGTTTTAGTAACAATAACCAGGCTGCCATTTTTACTCATCATCCTTAGCGCCATTTTACAAAAATATTTTCCACCCACTACTTTCATCACGGGATAACTCAGAATAAAGTAAAATTTAACCTTATTACTTCTAATACTAGGTTTGCAATAAGACAAGTTACATTGCAATGCCCGAGGTGCATTTTTGTGCTATAGGTAATAAATTAATAATGTAAAATAAGAAAGCTCTATGTGACGTAAAATCAAAAGAGGTTACTCAAATCATTTTTTTCCCGGCTCTTTCATTTTTTTCCTGCTAATATTTGTATAAAGAAGATCAGAATCTATTATTATTTTAATGATACTTTTTGGAATATTACAAGGTTAGTTTTTTCTTTTTATTGTATTGAATAACTGCATTAGCCCTCAAATGAATACACAAGTAATAAGTTACACAACGTCTTTCATTTTTCGTTTGGAGTTTTCGCAAACGAAAGTTCGTGAGCGCGTAATCCTTTAAGGTTAGGGTTCATCTGTCACGTGTTGTTGTTCGTTTGTCACTCTCTTAAAGGAAATTAAAGGTAAGTTGGGGTAACGAAGTGCCCCTATATACCCGTATGCTTATAGTGTGCAAGTACGTCTCCCCCTCCAAAAATAAAATCTCATATTTTGAACTCACCCATCAAAACTGTCTCGATGCTATCAATATGCACTCTGATAAAAGTATAAACTAGTGTACGAGAAAAGCAATAGCTGCTTACTTTAAATAAATATTCAGTAACCTTGTATTTTATTTGGTTCTATATTTGGGGCAATACGCAATCGATTCAGTTCGCGAAAATCTACTCTACGTTAGTTACGTCTAATGCGTTTGGCCCAAGCTTGGATTTTCTCTTTTAACTTCTCAGCTGCCATTAGCCTTGATATCTCATTTTGAATTTGGTATTTTTCTTCAACATGGAGTCATCATTTTCGTTTTACTTAGAGTTTTGCGATGGTTTAGAAGCTGCCTCGGCTAAGAGTGATATTTCACGCCGAGTGTCGGCCCCGTTTATTAATTCTTTTCGTCCACTGGGTTTACGCAGCTGTTTGCTCTGTTTGGCTGCCGGCTGTTTACTCTGTTTGGTGTTCTCGGCTGGCCACACAATTGTATGAGATACCAGAGATACAGTTGCATACTCAACGTGATTGACTTCAGTAATATCTAGATCTCTACACAGGGTATTTACCCACCTAATGTAAGACATAATAGATGCCTCTATCACTCTCTTAGCTTAAGAGGACCTTCGACAGGACTATCGTTTTCAGGGATATTAGGTGGTTCTAAACGTTAGCCATGTAAATTGTTTGATCAAAGAACATACACCGCATTTCCCTGAATGCCAGCAAGTTGTTCTGCTGTGAATTTTCCACTACTGAGAATCGATCGGTCGTTGACTGGCAAGCTTCTTTGAATCTAGGGAAGGTCTCATATGTGTTCCGCTCTCTCCATATCTTAAATACTTCTATTTCTGAGCCTCCATTTACGTAGTAAAAGCCCCATCACCTCCTTCAATTCGTGCAGTGTCGATCTTTGACGATGGCTTCGAGCTACTGCCGGCTCGGGGTCCCTGGGACAAACATCCGTCGGGTAATCAGTCGCCGACAAGGTGACATTAGCTCGGTTTCTGAGGAGGTATGGGACATTGGTAAAACAACGCACGTTGCGACACATTAAATTTCTTGTTCTATTCATTTTGCTTATTGGTTTTAAGGGCAGTTTCGCAGGAAGCAAATCCGAATTCACAGATCACACTTAACCCGTAGGTTATAATTCCTGTCATTCGTTTATGCGACTCCCAGTAGCCTCGGGTCATCCCCCCGCAAGGCCCAACAATGGACCCTCCGATCGGCATCATCCGATTTTCACTGACTGCTGAAAGTAGCCTCCTTCGCTGGCTAATTGAGGTTCGAACCTCCGGGTAACTTACAAACCATCGCAGACAGAATGATTTTATACTTTGAAGCGTCATTGGTTCAGCTTTTGAACGCTTTTAAAACGCATTTTCCCATGCTTTCTGTGAGTGATATAAAGTAATGAAAGGTTTTAACGCCTTTCATTTCCTGCCAACCATCTTTCCTCTGAGAAAATATAATAATTACATTTTTGAATTTATTCATTTTTATAAAGACTTACTATATAATTCTTTTGATATTTTATTTGCAGAATTTAATCGTGTCAAGGGCAATCAAATTTAATCGTAAACTAGCCTTGGTTTGGAACTGCTTGGTACTACTCCTACGCAATCGAAGGCATTTTTATGACATGATACAAAAAACGCTAAGTAATAACTAGTCAAAAATATTTTGTAGCACAACTCGAGAACATTTTTTGTTTCTATATTCGCTTTGAACCCCATGGCACATTATCAATATCACTTAGAACTGGTAAAATTATACTCCATGTAATATACACGTTGGACTACTAAGATAACCAGAGCAAATATCTTTCAATCGCTTTGAGGTATCTGGATGCGGTTTCCTTCAAGTTGTTTAAGTTGGGGGGGGGAACAATATCTTTTATTTTCTTGTTGGTAACATTTTTAATTTTTGAGATAGTAACCCAAATTTGATTTTTTAAATGGATATATTTAACTATCATTAATCTAAAGTACTTGAAGAGATGAATACTGTGACATAAGCACTTGTAATAATCTTCAAGAAACTGGAGGACATGCGTTGAAAGTGAATCTTTAGATGGCGCTCCTCTCTCTAGTTAAAAATCGAATTTGAAACTTCGTGTTTTCAAAGCAATAACTGTACTTATTTGAATTACCTTCTTGCATTGATCTTATCACTTACATGTTCATCTGCTTTTGAATTGCTCTGACGCATAACAAACTAATATATAATAAGAATAATAAAGAATACAAACACTATTACAAAAACTTACAAAATATAGTTATTTACCCAAGTTACATGGCCCACATGATTCGTGGTGTGCGAGCCCTTTGGTAATCCTGCATTCATTGACTTGGGATTTGATAAACCACATATTATTTTTACATAGAATTATCTGTTTGTAAGGAGGCTTTCTATGATTTTTAATAGATATTGAGGTAATTATTTATCAACGCTGAATCTGTACATCTAAATAATATTTAACAAACTATGATTCATACTTTCTTTAAACTCCCAGAATCCAAAAAGAAACGTTTTCCTAAAACTTCACGAAGTATACATAAGATGTAGAAAAATACAATATTTTGATATCATTTCAATTAATATAGTGGGGATATTTTCGTTATGATAATGCGTACTACATTTCACATACCCCGTTTCATGAAAATCCATTAATGTCATGAAATTCAGTCGGTACAAAAAAAAAGCGACTCATTAAAGATTTATTTTTTTTAGAGTCGTGTACAAAGCAGAAATATGTCCTAAAGCTAGAGTTACGAAACAAAATACACAATGCAAGTTTTCATGAACATTCTTATGTGAACATGCACTCCAACCATAAAAAAAGTTTGGATGTAGAAGAAAATTTGGTAAAATTTCCGATAATTGGGAAGTACTTTTTAAAGCAGGCACTCAGTATTTTTAATAGAAAAATAAGAATAAATATATGAAAAAGGAAGACTTACCGAGTACAGGTATAGATTGGTTTCGTATCCGGACATCTTTTCTTTGTCCGTAACGAAAGGTTGCTCGTCCGTGCCATCTCCTGAAAGCACAATAAATCCATCAGTCTCAAATGTACTTCGAAAACGTTCACTATACAATAAAACATTTACCCTAAGGATAAAAAATTAAAATAAAAGTTCTGATTTTTTGTAGGAGACAATCAACAGTAGATATACATTTCAACAATGAAATGATTTTCTCCATTAATTAATTTTACCACTTTTTACACAGTACAGTCACATTAATGTGATCATCCGCCAAAATCCTGAATAACACCCTTTTGCAGCGCTGATCGCTGTGAGACAGAGTCAATTAGGTTCTGGATGGTACCGACAGAAATGTGGAGATATGCAAACTCCAGTGCCGTGGCCAGCTGAGCTAGGTTCCTCGGTTGCGGATCCATGGCGCTAACAGCCCAATTGAGATGGTCTCACAGATTCTCAATTGGGTTTAAATCGGGGGAGTTTTGGTGACTAGGGAAGTACGGTATGCTCATCCTGGTGCTCTTCAAACCATACACGTACACTGCGAGCTGTATGGCCTGTTGCATTATCATGCTGGCAGATGTCCTGCTGTGGAAAAACGATTAATTTATAGGAGTAAAGATGGTAACCAAGGATGGCAGCAAACTTCTGTTGATCCGTTGTGCTTTCCAGAATGACGAGATCACCTAGGGAATACCACAAAAACTTTCCCCACACCGTCACATTTCCTTCTTCAGCCTGGGCCGGTTCGTAAATTGTTGCAGGGAGTTAGCATATGAACGTCTGAATGCAAACGGCCCACAGTCTGATGGAGCAGAAAACGTTATTCATCTGAAAAGGCCATCAGTCGTCACTCAGTGGCCGTCTATGTCGTGCAAATTCCAACCTTCGTTGCCAAAGAACAGCAGTCAGCAGGGGTGCATGAATCAGACGCCTCCCGCGGAGGTTAGTTCAACGGTTGTTGTTGAGATCATGTTGGTATCCTGGCCCTATCCTTTGGTTCATATGGGCGGTCAGTTGCTCTACAGTTGCGTATCTATCCACCCGGACTCATCTCCGCAGCCGTCATTCACACCTGTTACCTATGTCCCGTGGTGCGCCATAATTGCCTCGGCGCCGGTTTTGAATATCGCCATCTTGCCAGGCACGGTGTACTTTAAAGACAGCGGCAGGCGAATACTTTACTTTACATTCTTACAATACTTACAAGCGACGCAAATTGTAAGAATGCTTCCGCCCTCTCCCCGCAAACCAAAGAGCATGGCCTATCGGACGTCCGATAAATCGCTCCGTTTCCGCATTGCAAGAACTACTGCACTGTTTTCCACTTCCACCGACACTCTTTAAATGCCCTCCCCTGTAAGTGCTGCCACCTACCCTCTGTGAACACATTTACGTCGAACATGGTCACATAAACGTCGCGGGACTGTGTATAATCATATGAATCCAACGCTTCTTTTACCAACGGGAAAGGGCAAACAAGACTAACAAAACTAGTGATTTTTCTCTTGCAGAATGTAATACACAATAATGATAAAATATGAGACAATTTTTAATGAATACGTTAGTTGGTAAATTCAGTTGAGTGAAGTTTTTCGAATTATTTCGTGAAAACCTATTAAATTTTATATTCTCGTATTTCATAAGCATCGTAACGTTAACACGATAGGGCACACATTATATTCGGAGCGATATGAAATATTCATTTATAAATTCAAGCATTCAATGGCCTACCGGAAGTGCATTCAGTCACGTGGGTTGAGGCCGGCAATATCAAAACACGGGGGCCGACACCCACGCGACCTTGGTCAGCTATTCAGAGAGGAACGCACTACACGCCGGAAGGTGTGGGTCCTTAGATTGCTTAGACTTGCCCCACGTGCCTCTACGAGTACATCGCTGCCTCGTACTTCCATCATTAGCTTGCTTAAGCATGCCGTAGCGCAGGCGAATTATCTTTGCACTGGGATTGTTACATCTCCACTGTACGTGAGGATTTCTCGTTTACTACAGGAGAAAAGTATTGGATTCGGAAAAGTTTATGGCGATTTCTCGGTGGTAAAATCCGTTTTGAAGTATTCCGATGTTGGGGCCTCAGATTGATCAGTGAAGACAACATGCCACACGTGCCTCTAGATCACTGCCTTGTACTTGCCTCCATCATTAGCTGGCTTAAGCATGCTTCAGCGCAAGCGAATTATCTATGCAAATGTAACACGTGTTTTACATAAATTTAAATAAACCATACAATTCCCGACATTTCTAGCACATATAAAATTACAACCATATTTCATTACTATTATACGAGCGTTTATATGTATTAAACAAACGAAATAAAAATTAAACTTAAACCAAATGTGCCAAAACAGCACGTATTTTCTCACTCGTATTTTTACGCAAAGGTACGCGAAAGATACTCAAATTTTCGAAAAATTGTTCCTGATCATATTTCAAAATCTATCTTTAAGGAACAGATTGCATTAAGGGAGAATCTCTATGTTTAATAGTTTTTTTGTAGGAAAACTCCGAAAAAATGTTGAACTTTCGAAATTTTCGAAAAATTAGTATTTTCAACGAAAATGAGTCCTGCAGCATTCTCTTGAACGCCCTTTACACTATCCAACAATAAAATTTAATAAAAAACGATGGCGTCATTTTTTTGAAAATGTCTCAAGAGCTTCGTATAAAGTACCCCTCCAAAATTAAAATATTGGTTTCAAATTGACGAGACCTCCGCGACATCCGCCAGATCAATTAAGGAATATCAATTTTGGAGAAAATCGGCTGAACGGTTTAGCCGCTAGCGTTGTTCACAGATGGACAGACAGATGTTTTGCTGTTATTCGATTTTCCGGTATCAAGGACCCGCAAAACATGGATTCAGCTTATATCACGTGTTCGAAGATTTTTTCTAAATCTGGCAACTGGATTTTTACAGTTTTTCGTTACCAGGACAAAGGGACATTTTCCCGAAAATTGGCCGTAGCATAATTTCATAACCTTTTTTCAACTACGAAGCGAGAAAGTAAAAAAAGAATGCTGTTTTTATTCAGTCAGAATCTACTAGAATATATTTCACCACTTATTGATGATTATTTATTAGTATGATATTAATTTGTTTTAGAAGTCTCCAAAAATTGGACAATATGACCGAAAACTAAAAATGAGCTAATACTATTGTGAATTTTAAAAACAAATCCACCTGCTTTTAAAATGTATGCCATCTAGATTCCCGAAGATCAGTGGCCTTGAATTTAACTGATTTAATTGCATTAACACAACTTTAGAAAATATAAATATCATATGCGGCTGCAGAAGGCCAATGGCCAAGCTCGAATAAATTAAAAAGAAAGAAAATATAAACCGCGAACGCAAAAATACAATTTTTATTAAAACGAAGGTCAGAGCGGCGGAGCACCACAAAAAGAAAAGCAGCAGCATTGTTTTCTTCAACAAGTTCTCCTACCATTTGTTAGCTCAGCGCCGCAACTGCCTTGTTTTCGTTTGAGAGTAATAAGGCAGTTGTTTGTGTGTGAATCTAGTTGTAACTGGTTGCAGTCAACGAGTCAGCGGTCTCCGACTGAAGCTCACAAAACGGAAAAGAGGAAAAATATCAGACGCAGAATGAAGGATAATAAGAATGCTTTCCGCTGCCGTATTGTGAAAAAGCTCCAATAATCTACTTGAATCTTACGGGTTTCCTCATTTCTAGAACAGTTCAGATAGAAATATTCAGCTGGTGCAGATGTTACACTCCATGGCGACGGAAATCAAGTGAAAGATCGCGGGAGGAGTCCGGAATTACTCAGAGGTGTCTGTGCAATGTGGTAGGCCATGGAAAAACACCCTCCTACTCATTCTTACGCCATTCACCCCTTGAAGGATGTGCCTCCAGGTGAACATCTGGAGGCGGCGTTTGGGAAGAGGCACACGAACAACCATCCTGGTTGTAACTTTACGGTGGCACCATACATTAAAAAAATTCGTTGTTCTATTTTTGTTCGATTTACTATGAATGTTTAGCGTTTTTTGTAACTTTAATATTAAGAATATTTCCCAATTTAAATGCAAAAACGCAAACACGACAGGTCGGCTCATATTTTGACATAATAACGTAAATCAGTGACCCAATCAGATAACCAGTTGTAGGGTTGAATATTCCATGGTACTTTTTTTTGGCTCAAACGTAACGCGAGAAGGGCTCGGGCTTTTGATGCTGCTTGGCGTTTGCGCGGGTGGGCGGGCCCGGGGCAGCCGGCACCGCCCTGGGTGACGGAGCAGAGGCAGGGGCAGGGGCAGGGCCGGGGCCGGGGCGTGGGAAGACAGCGGAGGGCGGCGGGTGCCGCCAACCGCCGCCATCCGCTTCAGACCGCCGCCGCGAGGCGCGCTGCAGGTCGCGCTCGTGACCTCGAGGCGCCGACGCGGAACGCCCCCCCCCTCCCTCTGCCACTCCGCTGGCCACGGCGACGCTTTCTTCTCCTAGCTCTCTTTTCCAAGTTCTCCTAGTCTCATTTACTTTTTAGCAACTTTGTTCACGTGAGCGAAATAATAATGGCGAGGGTGCGTCAACAACAATGGTCGTTAGTCCCGTATGTGTAGTGCATGTTGTATCCCGCAGGCGGACCGGTTACGATGACTTAGGGGCAGTATTGCCGTTGTCTACGCAGCATCGCTGAGCGGGCGATCCTAGAAGCCTAGAGTTTGAATTCCGGCCGCGGCAGATTTTTCACTCCAGCTTCCTCCCTCGTCTTTCCTTCTTTCTCCCCTAATCCTTTTTCACAAATACATATTACCAGCGCACGTTTTCTTGAGCCCTCCATTCACTAGATGCGAGAAGAGTGGAAGGTTTCATTATTTTGTCGACAGGACTTATATGAAATCTGTACCTGGTTTTACAATGCAAAAAACGTTTCAATTCCGCGGGAGTGAATATTTCTGATACCAGATTTTGTCAACAACGCGCGTTCCTATTTTTTATTCTGACTAATGTTAGTAAAGGAGTGGGGGTAGGTATTTCAGAGCTCAAGAAAACGTGTGCGAATAATACAAGCACTACA